GTACTGCTTTCTCCTCATTGTGGATCCAGAGATCACCAGCTCCCACCCACTTCTGGCTCTTGTGAGAAGGCTGTCCCAGAAGAGGGCAAGTGAGTAAGGTTAACAGGCCTCACTTTTCCCTCCAAAGCTGACACTCATCATGTGGTAGGATTTTTCCCTTCTAGGGCTACTTGTCTTATTTCCGCTACCTCTGAAAACCTCCCCCATACTGTTATCCTGACCAGGGGTGGCAAACCTGCAGCCTAGAGGCCACATGTGGCCCTCTAGGTCCTCAAGTACAGCTCTTTGACATGTGTGGCCTCCAGGCTGCAGGTTCCCCTCCCCTGTCAAATCCATCTCAGCCTGAGCTCTCCCTAGGCCCTCCCCTGAAAGTCATTATTATTTTTTAAACTTTCCATTTCATCCTAGATCTTTTCTCCCCCCCCCCAACATTTCTCCCATTTTCTGATACTCACTGAAACTTAGCTTCCTCATTTAGCAAATTACCTTTTTATTGACACTTTTTTATATCATCTTAATTTCTGAACATATACCTCCTCCCTCCTTCCTCATAACAAAGATTCTTAAAATCCTCAAAGTTAATCAAACTAACACATTGGTCTTGTCTGACAGTGTAAGCAATATTGTACACAATATTCCCCCACTTCTGCATAGGAAGGAAGAAGGTCCTGTTTTTTTCCTAAAGATATCTCAATTCTTGGTACCCTCTCTGTTCCTGGCTGCTTCATCTCTCACATACTCTGACATAGTGACAGCAGGGAAGTTGGTATACTTCTTTCTCTCCACTGCCATTTTCAGACCTTGTCTCTCCCTCTATCAATAGGTAATTACCTTTAAAATTCATTTCATCCATTCAGATTCTTGCTGGAGTCATCTATGGACCACCAGGTTACTTTCTCCCTCCCTTTTCAAGAAATTCAGTGCCTGACTCACAGACTTTGCCCCCACTTTTGCCCATCTTCTTCAGACACTCTGGCCTCCCACTTCCTTAACCTCCTCAGCTTCCACAGTCTCTTTCTCCAGATTACTTCAACTACTCTCAGGAGTGGGTCTCCTCAGCCCCTTCCCCAAACTGAATTTGCCCCAGAAGACAGAATTCTTCTAATGCCTCTGTACAGAACTCTGAGTGAGGGGCAAGGAAAACCAATGCCTCAGCTCCCACCAGTTTAGCACCCTGCTCCAGGTGCTTAGCCCTTTCTTCAGAACTGAGCTTCCATTCCTGGGTACTTCTCTTCCATTCTTATCACTTAGCTCCAATCCCTTACACTTAGTATCATCCCCCAAACTTGGACCCTATCTCTAAGAGCTTTTAGCCTCATCTCAGCACTTAGCCCCAGTACCACCACTTGGCTACCCTATCCCAGTGTTTATTTTATATCCTCAGTACTTAGTTCCACCCCAGCATTTAGCACACTACCCTCAGCACTCTGCCTCCTTTCTTTATCCCTGAAGCTAGAGAAATTTTATAGTTGTAGTCTTTCTGGATAAGAAATACTCACCCACTATCATAGCTCTAGTACTAGAAATCAGCCTCTTCCTTTTCTACTTCCTCCGCTCCTTGTCCCTAGGAATTATCCCCTAGGAGGATGGCCCCCTCCTGTCAAACCCTGACCCAGCCCTTCTTTCATCCACAGTGAGAAAAAAGTCAATCAACAAATGTTTATTAAGCACTTACCTTTGGGTAGGCACTGTGCTAGGTGATGGAGATGCAGACAGCAGTCATTGACCTTGAGGATCTTACAGTTCTACTGAGAAGACAGTATATATAAAAGCAGGCACATAGATAATATATCCACAAAATAAATTAAAGGCATTTTTGGAGGAATCAGGAAAGCCTTCATGTAGAAGGTATATAAATTGCCTTTACCTTACTCCCTTGGTGTGATTTCTCCCCCATCATTCTGGGGTTAGGAAGAAGGGATGCATTATGCAGAATATAGAGGGCATTCTCATGGATGAATAAATAAGCTTTGGTGTTGGTGGATGAAGGCTGCAGTGTGAAACAGTTGAGATCAGAACCCATCATGAGATGTTTCCTCATGAGATCAAAGGAAAGCTATGGGTAAATGGACTCCAGCTTCTCTGCCTGATGCCATATTCCATTAAGGTTGGGAGAATAGCCCCATTTCCATGGGGTGAGAAGAAGGAGGCAATGAAAGTTTAAGATGACTTTGTATAAATATACATCTTTTTTAATACCAGAAAATCCTGTTCTATGGTGGTGAGGTATTTGTTTTGTGATAAATCAAGTTAAGTGTTAGAGTAAAGGCCCAAAGCTTCTGGTGGATAGTAATACTTGGGGAATATAATTTTTAAATCTTACCCAGGGTTGTACAAATGTGTCACCCCATTTTCATCCTTGTTATTATCAATACTTTCCATTTCTATAGCATTTTTTTGTTTGCTAAGCACTTTTGTATACATTATTATTTCATTATGGGGTGTTTTTACTACATGACCTCTAAGTTTTAAGTCAATAATCTCATTTGATGCTCACAACAACTTTATGAGGTAGATAGTGAAAACATTAATTGGTAGGGTGGAGGGAGGAGGGGGGAGGTTCTGGACCAGTGATTTCATCAGTTTGGGGAACTCAGGATTTGGAAGCTCTAAAATTCAAAGCAGATAGATAACTCATGTTCAACTTAGGATGTTGAGAAATTAGGTGACTTGAACAAGGTCAAATGGCTGCCATGTTTCAGAGGTAGGATTTGAACCCAGATCTTTGTGACTCCAGAATCTACCATCCATTCCCTACATCATTGTCAAGTATTATCGTATCCATTTTACAGATGACTAAAGTGAGACTTAGAGACATTAAGAGACTTGCCTAGTCACACACATCAAGTGGAAGAGCTGAGACTTCAACCAAGGTGTTTTATTCCAATATCACTCTACCCTTTCTATTACAGTCTGCCTCCCTCCCACTTCCTCCCCTCAAACACATATACACTGTAACTGGGAGACTTTAAGCCCTCCCCAAGTATCCAAAGATCCTTGGCTTCTATTCACTACACACAGAAAACCCAGGACTGAGCAATATTCCCTTTCTTCCTTCAAAGTGAATGAATGCATCTAAAGGACAAAATTCAAATGTTGGAGCCCTTTGGTAATCCCATCTCTGACCACATGAGGTCAGCATAGAGCCACCCTCTGTTTTCTTAGCTCCGGAACCTTGAATCCCTATAAAAAACCAGGCTAAGGGATCAGTTTTATTAATCTGAGGGGGTGTCACCTGAGAAGGGGAGAGAAGAGACCCTTTTCTCAAGTCACAATACTGGTGAGAGAAAGTTTGGCAGGAGGGAAGCTCTGCTGTCTCCCACAGGAATCTTATCCCCATATCTCTGATTTTCCCAGCTCTTTGTACCCTTTCCAGCCCCTTAATCTCCCACGCCCCATCTAGCTTCTCCATGAGAAGCATGCCTGTTGTCATGACAACCAGTTGGTCAGCAGGTCCTAGAGGCAGCTCCAACCAGAACCCCCCTACCCCATGCTCCTCCTTCCTGAGGCTGTGGGGCAAAGGGTTGGGAAAGGTGGAGGAGAGAGTACTCTTGTCTTTTGGGCAGTCAGAAGTTAGAGAACAAGTACTCAGGATGTCTGTCCTCCAGCCTGGACCCCACTGAACTGGTGAAAAGAAGACAGTAGGAAAGAAGGCAGAGTGGAGCTATTACTGATGACAAACACGGAGTTTAAGTATCCTATGACATAGACAAGTATAGGGTTAGAGTCTAAATTTTCCATCTCTATCCTCAGTTGAGCTTGAATAGGCTAGAGTGGGACTGAAAGTGGAAAGGCAGAGAGTGAGGTTGGATGTGAGGCAGGATCTTTTTAGAGGTGCTGGGGTGAGAGACGTTGGAACAAGGGACCCATGTTAATCTCTCCCAGCTGCTACGCCAGCCCTCCCTCTCTCCCCTCTCCTTAGCCCTCCATCTTCCCTGTATTTATACTGGGCCAGGCTAGGCTAAGGACAGGCGGCTGTGTGAGTTGACCTTGGGAAGGCCAAAGACATGATTTGGTCTAAGATTTTAAAAGGCAGCCTTAGTGAAAGCTTGATATTCCCTAGGAAACTGGAAATGGCCACAGAATGTTAGAGCTAAGAGGGATCTCATCTACTTCAACTCTCTTTTACCGATGAAGAAACTGAGTCCCATAGAGGGGAAATGAATAGTCCAAGAGCATTCGGCTACTAAGAGTCTGAATTTGCTTATCATCCAAGTCTTCTAATTCCAAATGCTGTGCTTTCCACACCACAGCACAGCTAGCTTCAAGGGAATGAGAGAGGAAGATTGGAGAATAGGAAAGTAAAGAGCAGCTTGAACTGTTTGGAGACCACTCTCCAGGGCTAGGAATATTCCTGGGGAGCCAGAATACCTTCCAATGTCTAGGGCCGCAAGTGATTCTGAGTTCTTTCCCCCTCATTTCACCTGCCTTCACTCACACCTTGACCTATGGAGCTGCAGAAGTGAAGGAGATCTAAGAGGTGTGTGTACAGATGCTTAGTTGGTCTCCCTTGTATTAGCATTCAGTGCCGGGGACTTGTTCTGTAGGGTGTCTACCTGCAGTTTGACTTTGGCGTTCTAGCCTTTGTCTATAGCGTACCTCCTAGTATCCTTTCAATCAAATCTCCCCCCCCCTTTTTTTTTTTTGTTCCTGGTCTTTATCCACTCAAATCTTTAAGAGCCTTTATCCTGGGGAGGGGAGTGACCTCTGCCTATCCTCATGGAGACCCAGGCCAGTGGGGAAAAGGGTTGCTGCAAAGGAGAAGGCTCTCTCAGGCTGGGAGAAGGGGACCAGAGAAAGAAGGGACTGTGGGCACGGTTGCCTGGTGCAGAGGGGGATGGAAGTTTGGGATCCCCCTCTGTCGCATCTCCTCTTTACTAGGGGTAATTATTAGGTGGGACTTTGGGGGAGGCGGAGTTGGGGGGGCGGAGGCGGGGCTCAGCTGCGCTGGGAGGAAGAGGGGGGGCGCACTGGCTCGAGCTCCCGGCTCAGACAAAAGGCGGCGGCGGGAGCGGGAGGGAGGCGGAGTGGCGCCGGGAGGGCCTCAAGGTGACACTTGCCCCCCGTCCCGGCCCCTCCGCCCCGGCCCGGCCCCCCTAGCCCTTACCTCCGTCCCACCCCACATCCCCCAGTGCCTTTCCCTCTCCAACCCGGCTCTCCAACCCTACAGCCCTCCACCGGCTCCCTCTCCACCCCCCGCGGGGGGTGGGGAGCAGCCAGGGCCCCGCCCCCTCCCGCCCCCCTTTCCCCTACCTCCAGGCCAGCACAGGATGCCCCCGGCCCCCGGTGGCCCCCAGGGAGGCTCCGAGCTCCGCGCCCCCCACCCTGCGCCATGTCTCCCCCCGGCTCGGCTGCAGGAGAGAGCGGCAGCGGCGGCGGCTGCAGCGGTGGCGGCCCCGGGCCCCTGGAGGAGGCGGCGGCGGCGGCGGAGGGCACCGCCCGAGAGGAGGTGAGGACCATCCCCGTGCCCCCTGCTCCCCCAGCAACACCTCCTTTCGCATCCGCCGAGGGACCACGTCCAAGTCCCTCTCCATCTCTCCCACCCCAAGCCTTCCCGCTCCCTGTAGGGTTCAGCCGTGGTCCATAGCACTTCTCCCCCGTCCCCCTTCTTCTTTCCCAGGACCTTGATGCGATCTGCTAGGATCTGACCTGACCCTGAATACGGCCCCCTGCCCGTTCTGCCGCAGCGCGGCCCTCTCCGCCCCCCCCCCACTTCCCCTCAGCCTGGCCGGCTGCATCCGCAGCCCAGCACATACGCGCCCCCCTTCCCCTCCCCCTATCCAGAGCTGTCCGTGGTATTGAGAAGGGGGCAGCGGCAAGGGGCGGGGCTCGGGGGTCCTGGGGAGGGGGAGGGGAAACTGGGCGGGGCTTCTCTGATGGGGCTGGAGAACGTGGAGTGGAAAGTGTCTGTGTTTTGGGCGGGGGACAGGTGGGTAATCTGGAGTTGGTTCCATCCAGGAAGGGAAGGGGCAGAGGGTCCATGGCAGTGGAAGAAAGATTATAAGGGTGTGTAGTGGAGAGAACTCGTTTAGGTAACAGGTTACCCTGGACAGTCCTTAGGAGGGAAGGGGGCATAAAAGATGAAGACTGAAGATTCCCTCTTGATGTCACGAAAGGGTCGTTAGCATTGTATATGAGGGAGCAGGCAGCCCTCCTTCCCAACGTTCCCATTGCCCTGGGGACAGAGAGCTTCTCCCCAAACCTCAGTATTGTGTCTATGAGAGTTTTAGGCCATGCCACTGGGGGGTGGGGGTGGGAAGGGATAAACCCCACGATTACGGTTGGGATCAAGGAAGATAAGAGAGTCAAGAAATGCCCCTTTCCAATGGCTAATCCACAATCACTAGCTTGAAGAAACAGACCATATCCACAACAGCCCTCACCCTCCCAGACACAAGCATGTTAATTCTTGCACATACATACACTGATGCATAGATTTGTACACAACCATGCAGACACACTTGCCAGTATCATTATGAACACAGGCACAAAACATGCATCCAACCCCCTGAGAATATATGATCCCAAAACCATGCGCGCACACATACATATATACAGACATATAGTTATGCACACATACTCACTCATACTTTTCCCATGTCCAGATCTTTTCTCTAATTTCAGGCATGAGCTCTTCCTCATTCCAGATTTTGCTTAAATTATCCCACCCTTTCTGAATCCTTTTATACCATGCCTTTTTCATACTCTCCTTGGCTCTTTCTTTCTATTTTCCCTAGAATGTCCCTTCTTGTTCTGACCTTCTCTGAACTCCTTCCTCTTTTTCTCTCTCCTCCATTAGCTAGAACTTCAGGATCAGGGTAGGAAGCCTAATGAGGGAGGGAGAATCCCAGCAGAACTAAGAATTAAGATCAGATGTCAGGAAGAGCTACCTAATAATGAAGGATAGGAGACCCTAAGCAGAAGATGAACCTTAGTTTAAGCAATTACTCTCCTACATGGTAATGCAAAAGAGGCAAAAATCCTTCATTTACTCAAACATCTACAGCTTTGTACCCTCACTCTGCTAGTATAGGCATACAAAGATGAAATCCCAGTCCCTGCCCTCAAGGAGTCTGCATTCTAATAGATAGGAAAGGATATGTGCACAATTAAGCATAATTCAAGGCAAATATGTGGTTAATGAAAAGGACAGGTCTAAATGAGTTGTGATGAGAAAGTCTGAAGAGGGAACATTTCCAACTCTGAAGAGTGATATTGGGGAAGATGTAGAGAGAAGTTAGTGAAGGGGGTAGTACTGGAGTTGGGCCTTTAAAGGTCGAATTTCATTAGGAGAAGGTTAGGGTGGTTCATTCTAGGCATAGGGCACACCATGAGTACAAGGAACACAAATGGAGAACAGGACAAACACCTGGAAAAAGAATGTCCCACCTACACCGGCCACCTCTCTGGCTCCTTCCCAGTGTTCTCTTTGGGTTCCATAGTTTTCTGGGGCTCCAATTCCACTTCTTCATCTCTGTTCTTATTCTCTGGGGCTCTCATTTGCCTTGGGACCCCAGGCTTTCTCCCTCTTGCTCTACATTAGGAGACAGTATTGGTAAAAGTATGGGGGAGGGAAGAGGACAGGGTTGAAATATAGGGGCCTAGGAGAGGAAATAGAATTTAAAAGGGAAATGTTTACCATCACCTACTAGTATAGAGTATAGCTTCACTCAATGCCCCCTTCCCTGCTCACTGGTGCTCAGGACTATATAAGCTGAGGATTTGGGGGTAAGTGGAAGAAGCACACTTAGAAAGGTATATATCTACAACAGAACTGGACCATTTGCGCTCTCTCTCTCTTCTCTGTATGTGTGTGTGTGTGTGTGTGTGTGTGTGTGTGTGTGTGTGTGTGTGTGTAATGAAGCAGTAGGATTTTACCTTTTCCATTCCTCTTCCTTTTCCTCCAGTCTGGAGCACCTGGAAGGGCATGGGCATGGTGCCTATCCTGGAGTGGGGACAACACCAAGGAAGCCACTGCTAATTATTTTTCTCCTGTTTTTCCCCCTTTCTCCTGCCTCTCCCATTTCATCTTCTTTGTCTGCTTTTTTTTTTGCCATTGTCTCTCTCTGTGCTATTCTATCTCTCTTCTCCTGCCTGGTATGTGTGTGTGTGCCTGTCTGTTTCTTTTTGCTGATGTTTCTTTGATTTCTTTCTCTGCATGTGACTTTGTTTCTGGCTTCTCGGTCTGTTTTTCTCTGCATCTCACTATTTCCATCTCTCCCTTTCCATTTCTGTGTCTTTCCTTGTGACTGTATCTCTCTCTTTCCCTGGACTATTCTCCCTTTCTGAACTGCTTGTTTTCTTTACTGTTGCTGTTTCTCTTCTCTATACTTCTTTCTTTTTCTGACTCTGTGTCTCTCTATTTTGGGGGGCGGGGTATCTGTTTCTTCCTCTTCTCTATGTATCTGTCTGCTGCCTTTTTTTTGTTTTTGGGTTGGTTGTTTCTGTGTTCTTCCATCCCTCTTTCCTCTTCTTCCCCCCTGAGCAGCAGCGTCCAGTGCAGCCCTCCTTTACCAAGTCCCTTTGCCGTGAGTCGCACTGGAAGTGCCTGTTGCTGTCCCTGCTCATGTACGGCTGCTTGGGGGCCGTGGCCTGGTGCCATGTCACTACGGTGACTCGCCTCACCTTCAGCAGTGCCTACCAGGGCAACAGCCTCATGTACCACGACAGTCCCTGCTCCAATGGCTATGTCTACATCCCTCTGGCCTTTCTGCTCATGCTCTATGCTGTCTACCTTGTGGAATGCTGGCACTGCCAGGCCCGCCACGAGCTGCAGTACCGTGTGGACGTGGGCAGTGTGCGGGAGCGAGTGGGTCGCATGCAGCAGGCCACACCATGCATTTGGTGGAAGGCCATCAGCTACCACTATGTCCGCCGCACCCGACAAGTCACCCGTTACCGAAACGGGGATGCCTATACTACCACGCAGGTAAGGGAGCGGGGTCAGGACCATGGGCTCAAAGGGACTCAGAGGGAGGAGGCTGATACAATGTGAGAGTGTGAAAGGTCACTATTGTAGTGGGGTGAGTAGGAGTGGAGAATAGGAAGATGATGGAGGAGAGAGATCTGGGAGGAGTGAGCACTGATAAAATGTTGGTGGTGGTGTGGTGACAGTGCATACCCTATCAGAATGACTGAGAGCTTTCCCCCTGAGGACTTCCCCTACCAGGACATCTCAGGGGTTACAAAAAGAAAGAAGACACCACTGTTCTCTTGGGTAGACTCTACAGTTTGTTGAGGGATTCCCCACCCTCGGAGGGCCACCAATCTTAGGAGGAAGAGAGATCCTAACCTGTGGAAACTCAGAAGTCCAAGTTCAAACATCATTTGTTAGAGAACTACAGTGTGCTAGATGCCCTGCTAGAAACTGCAAATACAAAAATGACACAGTTCCTTCCCTCAGTGGGCTTACATTCCCAGTCTGATGGGGGAAAGGCTTATTGCCTTCCTAGAGTTCCTTTTCTGAGAGTGAAAGTCATTGCCCTTTGAGGAGCCCCAATCTGATGGAGACATTAGAAAGTACCCAGTTTAATGGAGGGAGACAGTCCCTACAATTCAGAACCTCCTGTTCTAATGGGGTGGGGGGGATGGGAATCAGGGATCTTCTGATTTGAAAGACAAGATACAGCCACCAGCCCCAACTTCCCAGAGCTCACTATCTAGTTGCAATAAGAACACACCTATTAAACACACACACACACACACACACACACACACACACACAATTTATTCACCCTTAAAAGGCAGGGAAACGAGGAAATGCATGTAAACTTTGGTGGATTAAACTCCGAAGGAATTCCCTGGGTAGAGACCAGAATGTATGGGGCTTTGTCAGGAAAGTCTTTCTGGGATGGAGTTTGGTGCAGGCTGGAGGAAAGCAGTGGAAAGGTTATTGAAGGGCAGGGTTAAGGATGAGGAATAGTTATGTCAGGAGTGAAGGGACAGGAAGCAAATTAGTTTGGTTGTACTGGAGAGCTGTTGAATATTGTGGGTGTGACAGGAAGGCTGAGGCAGGGCTGGTGGAGAGCCCTTGACTGCCAGGTTGGCGAGTTCTAGAGTTTCATAAGGACAGCATTGTTAGGGACCCATCCACTGCAGGTCCTTGGAGGTGGATAGGGAAATGACGAAGAGATACAGGCTCCAGTGTGGATGGAGGATAGAGCGAAGGGGATCAAGATTATAGAGTATCAGAGCTGGAAGGGGTCTCAGGGACCATCTGGGCTGACCTCCTTGTTTTACCTATAAGGATCTTAAGGCCAGAAAGAGGAAGGGACTCATGCAGGAAGGAGAGTGGAGCTTCCAACTTCTGAACCCTACTTCAATCTTTTCCCCTTTTTCCTTCCCTTCCCCACCCCACCCCACCCCACCCCACCCCACTCCATGGCCTTAGGTCTACCACGAACGAGTGAACACCCACGTGGCCGAAGCCGAATTTGACTACGCTCGCTGTGGTGTCCGCGATGTGTCCAAGGCATTGGTGGGGCTGGAGGGCGCGCCGGCCACTCGGTTGCGCTTCACCAAGTGCTTCAGCTTCGCCAGCGTGGAGGCAGAGAACGCGTACCTGTGCCAGCGCGCACGCTTCTTTGCAGAAAACGAGGGGCTAGACGACTACATGGAAGCGCGCGAGGGTATGCACCTGAAGAACGTGGACTTCCGCGAGTACATGGTGGCCTTCCCCGACCCGACGCGCCCGCCGTGGTACGCCTGCCAGTCGGCCTTCTGGGCAGCAGCCCTGCTCACGCTGTCCTGGCCGCTGAGGGTGCTGAGTGAGTACCGCACGGCATACGCCCATTACCACGTAGAGAAGCTCTTTGGGCTAGAGGGCGGCGGCGGCTCCACCCCGAGCGGCGACGAGTCCCTGCCCCCACTCACCCATCGCCTGCCCCGGGTCAACACGGTGGACAGCACGGAGCTGGAGTGGCACATCCGCTCCAACCAGCAGCTGGTGCCCAGTTATTCTGAGGCCGTGCTGATGGACCTGGCTGGGCTAGGAGCTCGCTGCGGCGGGGGGCCCGGCGGGGGCTACGCGCCCTCCTGCCGCTACGGTGGCGTGGGCGGCTCGGGGGCAGCCGGGGCAGCCCCGTACCGCCGCAGCTGCGAGCACTGCCAGCGCGCCGTCAGCAGCTCGTCTATCTTCTCTCGCAGTGCGCTCAGCATCTGTGCCAGTCCCCGGGGCGCGGGTGGGGTCGGGGGTCCAGGGGGTAGCGGTGGCTGTGGCGGGAGTCGTTTCTCCCTGGGCCGCCTTTACGGCTCCCGCCGGAGCTGCCTGTGGAGGAGCCGGAGCGGGAGCGTTAACGACGCCAGCTGTCCCACAGAGCAGACGCGCCTATCCAGTCAGGCCAGCATGGGTGGCGACGACGACGACGAGGACGATGAAGATGAAGAGGGAGGACCACCTCCACCCTATCACGACGCGCTCTACTTTCCAGTGCTTATAGTCCACCGGCAGGAGGGGTGCTTAGGCCACAGCCACCGGCCATTGCACCGCCACGGCTCCTGCGTGGAGACCTCACTGTGACCCTTCCCTCCCCCATCTGTCGAGAAGGGGTGGGCGGCAGAGGGGGAGGTGTCGCAAGGATTGAGGAGACTGGGGGGGGGGCCTTCCCACCACCAACCCGCTCCACACCAAACTTTGTCACCTGTCCCCAACCGGGGGAGTCACGGATGTCCGAGTGATCACAAAGAAGAAGGGGCACGCTTTAAGGGGGATCGGACAGATCAGAAAGGACTGAGACCTTGGCTGTCCTCTTAGACAAAAAGAGTAGGGGTGGTGTGCCTGCGCGTGTATGTATGTATGCTTGGAGGAGCGGGAGACTGACCCAGAATTTTCAGAGGAAGAGATTTGGGGGATTCACAACCATCAAGGCCAAAGCGATCCGTTCTCTGCCCCTTGCCAAATCCTGTGTTCCTAAGGGCATAAAGGGACGCAGCCTCACCTAAGCAGGCTTGGGACCCAGCCTTTTACAAGATTTTCCGACTGTTATATGGGGTCCTGTTATCTCCCTCTTCTTCCTCCCCCTCCCCCCAAACACACCTTGTCAGCCTACTCCATGGAAGAGGCAGGCCCTTCTTATAGAGCTGGGAAGAGAAAGATCTTGGGTGGAGGAAAGATACTGGGGAAAGCCTGAAGGAAAAGGCTTCCCCTCTTACCTCACTTCTCTCCATTTGGAATTTATTGGGACATAGTGGAAGGGAAGGATTTCTGACCCCTTAATTCAGGGTCTTTGGATGAGCTCAGCACTCTGAACATCCCCACTTCAATTCCTTGGAAAATACTGAGATCCTTCCGTCTCTGGCCTCTCTCTGCCCACACCCCACCCCAGGCCAGTCTCTTTTCTGCTTTTCTATCCCTCCTTTAAGCCTCTTGTTTATCTTTCTGGTCCCAGGAGTCCTAGCTTCCAGAGGTATGACTCTTTTCACAGAGACATTACCTGCCTTTGGCTCTCTTTCTCTTGTTGCAGGAGGAATGAGATTGCATAGTAGGAAGAGAGGACAACTGGATTCCTTTTCTAAATTCACTTGGGTCTCAGTTTCTCCACCTAGGCCTCCCCTAAAGGGAAGGCTGAGTGGGTGAGATGAAACACAGGATGCTGGCCAGGAAGAAGGACAGAACAAAATCATCTGGGCTGAGAGAACTGGATGGAGGAAGAGTACCCAGGAGAGAGGAGGAGTGTAATTTGGAGGGGAGAACCTGACCAGAATTGAGAAGGGGAGAGTGGGCTTCCCTTTGTGCCCCCTCCCCCACATGCCCTGAGCTGACAGCTTTGTCCTAAGACTAAACTGGAGAAATTCTGGATTCCAATGTTTTGGGGCTTTTAGGAACGTATTTATACCCCAACCCTCAGCAGCCCTAGCCACATAAGCTTGGGTCACTGCTGTGTATCCTAGGTTCCTTTAAGGCAGGCAGGAACAAGCCCTGCCCCCATTTTATTCTCCTGCTGTCTGTGGCTTAGCAGACTTTCATTCCTGCTGCTCCTAAGCTCTATTCACTAACCTGGTCCTTTGGTGCAAAAGGGCCCCAGCACTTCCTCTCTGTCCCTGGTTATTTCAGCCTGCATGTCTGTGTGCTACCCCTCTCCTCCCAACTGTCTGTCCCTAGCTCAAGCTCACCTCTGTTGATTTAGTGCAGAAAGGCAAAAGCAGTCCAGAGATGAGTTACTGTAGGTCTTGATCTAGAATTTTCCCTTGTTCTCTCCTGTCTCCCTCAGAGGACCCCTTTCCCCCACTTTGGGCCCAGCAACATCAGTTGGGCCCCCTCATTGTGGCCTCCATCTATGCAACATCATCTCTGTCCCCACAACCCTCCTCATTGAGGGTTTGGGGAAGGATAGATTCTGGAGGCACTGTTTCTGAGTTGTTTTTCAAGGTGTTAGGGCCTGGCTCTGATTAGCTTGGTGTATGTATGTGTGCCTGTGTATGTGCATGTAGGGCTGAGCTAGCTAGGTTAAGGAAGGCTGTGAGAAGGTGGTACCAGAATGTCCACTAGGTTCCTATGGGAACTCTTCTCCCCATCTCCCCCTGTTGTACAACCCACATTCCAATGGCTGCTTTCCTGAGTCTGTACTCTCTCTCTCTCTCTCCTTCTGTCCATAGACTGTCTAAGCCATCTCTTCACCCCACCTAAAAGGCATCTGTCAGATCTAGGTAGTGAGGCAGGGGATCCCCCTCCCACTTCATGGCCAGCCCCATGCCCTTCCACATTGCTCCTCCTACTGTCAACTTGTAGAACATCTTGTTTCTCAGAAGGAAGGAAAACCTTCTAGCCCACTCCCCTCAGAAAGGGTCTGAGTGGTTGTGCTGGAAATGCAGAATGCCATTTGTCTGGACATGAGCTAAGTAAAGGGATCAGGGGAGCAGGATTTGGACCCCTCATTCCTTGCCTGTACTCACCATCCCTGCCTTGGGTGTCACATATAGACACACACACACACACACACAACACACACACACACACACACACAAAGACAGACTTAGAGACATGAATCCTTTAGTTCTTTCTTGGTGATTCTACTGATTGGCAGGAGAAATTCAAACCAGTGAAATTAATTAATCTCTAAAATTAAACCTTACACTGAATGTTCTCATTCCTCTGATGAGGAAGTCTGCTAGCAGCACACACACATGCACACCCACACATTCACACTCTTGCACAGAGATGGAATCCAACTCACAGTGGCACAGGCACACAGATGGGCCGGGCACTGACAAGCTGTGGGACTCACTCATGCACACTCCCCACTGGTGCTCTGCTAGGCATTGGCTGGATGGCAGACAGCTCCGGCCATCCCTCTCCCCAAACACCCTGCCCTAGGGATTTGCCTGACTGACACATCTCTGTGGCTTTCTTTCCAGGGAGGGAGCTCACCCCCTTCTCTGGGCTTCCAGGACTAGGGGAAAGGGTAACAGGATGGGGAGGATTGTCATTTCTCCATTGGTTTCTTTGACAAACACCAGGAGGGGCAGGAAGGGGAGAGCTTGTCTGTTTCCTAGCCCTCCCCATACCCTAGGGTAGGTAGACAGGGTGGTGGCAACCCTGGGAAGATGGAGGTAGTAGGATCCAGGCATTTACTAGCCACACACAGCTGTAAAGCTCAGTGTGGTGGGGATGAGGGCTAGGGATTGCGAGAGGGGGGTAGGACAGTGCTCTGTCCATTGGGTGCATCACGCTGTGGCCTTTCTGTTAAGGATCTCCAAGTGAAAAGATTGTAAAACCAAACATGGAAAAATAAAGTTTTCAGATGACTCACTGACTTCCCTCAACAGCTTGGTACCTCCTTCCTTCCTCCTCAAATCCCTGCCCTGTGCCATATATTCCATTTACAGCCTTTTTGGATATGCAGCTGATAGCAAAGTAGGACCAGTTTAGGGAATGCCACTTAAGTCTCTCCACCCAGAGATTTTCTCCCTTCTAAACCCTGCTCTGCTCTCACCCTTTGACAGGGTGGGGTACGTGTCTCTCTCTGTGTGTGTGTGTGTGTGTGTGTGTGTGTGTGTGTGTGTGTGTGTGTGTGTGTGTGTGTGTGTGGGAGGAGTATATATTATCCAATACTATCCCTTCCTCTATATATTTATCACCTAGGGAGTTCCCTCTACCCTCAACCAGCCCTGTTCCCCCACTGTCTATGAGAGGTGGCTTAGGCAGGGAATGACTCAGGACGACAGAGCTGAAGAGAGGAAGGTGGTCTTGGCTGTGGTAGGGATGGCAGATGGCAGCCAAGCACCAGGCCCCAAAGGAGCCAACTCTGTGGTTGTATGTATGTAGGTTGGTAGATGTGTTTATCAATGCCTCCTATGGGGAACAGCGTAAGGAATCAAGGCTCAGCACAGAGGTAAGGGAGGCAGAGGGACAAGGAAGAAGAGGTGACCAGAGGGCAGCTGACAGGAATGGGGGCCCAGATGAGGGAGATATTTATACCCTATAGATGTCTCCTGAATTCTCCAACTCTCCTCCAGAACTTTCCACCCATCCTAGGTTTGTAAAGATTTTACTTCTTCCAAGTACCCCTAGCTTTCCTGTCCCTTGCTAGAGCTGGGCACCTCCTTGCTCCTGGCCAAATCCATAACCACAGTCCCCTTCCCTAATTCCTTACCAGATTTTTCCCTTTCTCTTTCCACTGCCAAGCCTCTTCCTCTTCTAACCATCCTCTCCTTTGCTCTTTTCCCCTGTTTCCACCCCTGCCCCCCCCAACACTGGCCTGGGGGTGGGGAGTGGGAGCTGAAGATGGGAGCAGGAGTTCAGGGGCTTTATTAGAAGACTATCTTAGGGATGAGGCTGGTCAGTGGGCAAGGGGATGGGGTGGTCAGTGAGTGGGGGAGGGGGGACTGAGAAGCAGGTGGACGCCTCAGATGCCAGGTACCTTTCCCTCAACCTGCAGCGTTATTCATGTGGTTAACTGTTATATGACAACAGGTAGGCTGCAAGGTCCGAAGACGGGCAGCCTCTCGGTTGGCATTGAGGCCACACCTATGAGGTATTCACTCTCCTGGCCAATCTCAGACATCCTCAGGTCAAACTCCATCAGGGTCTTGTTGTCAGACATGCCCTCCAAGAGCTGCTTCCCACCATCCTGGGCCATGGGGTGTGAGGAAGAGAAGACAAGAAGGGGGGAAGGATGCATTAGAGAAGCATTGTTCTTGGGGGGTACCCATCTTCTAAGAGGTGACAATGTGAGACTTTGGGCAATATACTTCCCCTTTGGACCTATTTTCTTTTCTGTAGAATGAGGAATTTGGAATCCATAATATCTGAAGACTCTTCCAACCTAAATCTCATGACTCTATGATAATATGAATCTACAAAGTGTCTTCCAGCCCTCCTCTCTTCCTCCAATCATTCTCCTCCTCTGCCGCCCTTTGCTATATCATGCTGATTTGGTCTATTCAAGTTGGCATTAAATTCAAGGCATCTATAGCACTGAGTGATGCTGTACCCTCTCACCACCACCCCTTGCCATCCCTTCTTGCTGACTTACCAGACCAATGTGGTTGCAGGAGAGATTGATGCAGGTCAGGGTGGTATTGACAGACAGCACCTGGGAGAACAGAGTGGCTGTGGGCTCAGAGAGCTCATTGCCCCCCAGGTGCAGGTTGGTGAGGGTTGAGTTGCTCTGCAGGGCGTGGGCCAGGGCCTGCCCGCCCTCATCCTCGATGCAATTAAGGCGAAGGTTGAGGGAGAGGAGAGTGGTGTTGTAAGACAGAGCACGGGCCAGTGCCTGGGCTCCTAAGGCTCTGATTTTGTTGTTGGCCAGGTTGAGGATCTGCAGGTGGCTGTGATTGATCAGCTTAGCCGCAGCCCGCACGCCTCGGTCCCCAATATTGTTGTGTGAAAGGTCTAGCTCCAGAAGGGCTGGATGGTCCACGAGGCTTCGAATCAGGATACGAGCCTTCTCATCATCCACCCTACTCCGCGTCAATCTGAAGACCTGAGGGAGCAGAAGAGTTTCCTGGAGGTAACTGGGTGGGAACTTGTCCTATCTGTTCTTTCTTGGAAGAAATGGGGGTAGAGAAGGAAGCAGTGATTTGAGGCTAGTAATTCTGTCTCATAATTTGACTTCTGGAAATTGGGCTCTGTAGGTGGAAGGTATAGGATGGGGGATGGGGGATAAGCAGAACTAGTTAAGATTTCCCTAGCTTATAGACAGGTAGGTGACAGTGGATAGAACACCAACTCTGGAGTTAGGAGGACCTGAGTTCAAATCCAACCTCAGACACTTACTAGCTGTGTGGCGCTGAGCAAGTTACTTAACCCTGATTGCCATTCCCCCCAAAAAAAATATTTCCCTAGCTTGCTAAAGGGAAGTATTCTTAGTGGATGAAGTGTTGGATTTGCTGTTGGGAAGATTTGGGTTCAAATCCCACCTCAGACACTTCTGTGACCATGAGCAAGTATCAACCTCCCTTAGTCTGTTTCCTCATTTATAAAATGAGGATAACAGCCTATTGTGCCTGCTCACAATGTTGTCATGAAACTCCAATGAGTTAATGTTTGAAAAGTACTTTACAGATATAAATATCAGTTATTGTTATTAAAAGTAAGGACCATGATTCTCCACTGAGACCTCACTGTGGTATGGAGAGGACCCTAAGGTCTAGAAGGCTATATAAGGGAAGCCAGGGTGGTCCTGTGGAAAGGGGCCCTGGTTCTGAAAGCAGAAGATCTGAGTTCAATGCTTACTTTTTTTTTTTTGTGAGGCAATAAGTGACTTGCCCAGGGTCACACAGCTAGTAAGTATAAAGTGTCTGAGGCCAAATTTGAACTCAGGTCCTCCTGACTCCAGGACTGGAGCTCTCTTTATCCACTGCACCACCTAGCTGCCCCTCTTCTTATTCTTACTCTTACATCTTACTCTGATGCTTACTCCCTGTAGGAACTTGGTTAAGTTAAGTTCCTTTCCTGACTCCTGTAAAATGAGGGAGTTAGATGCCTCAACTGGCATCTGGCTTCCCTTCCAATTCTAGATTCGGGATTTTGGGAAAATGCTGGGAGGTCTTTCCATGGTGAAAAGGCTTTGAGTGATGGGTCTAGTGCTGGGGTTGTATGTCTTATGTCCCAGGAATGACCTCTCTATGTTGGAAGAAGCTCATGAAATTTTTTTTGAACACACTTACTGTAGAAGACCATCTCTTAAGTAGTAATGTGGATGAAGTCTGGACTGGTGAGAGGAATAGCAACATAGAGACGAGATCAAGGTTCTTGAAATGTTCATATACTAAGGTCATTCCTGGAAGGGGGAAGTTTTCTCTCTCTTGATCTATGCGTGTATGTGCATGTGTGCATGTGTGTTGTGTGCGCATATGCATACATGTGAGCATGTGTATTTCATGCATGTGCGTATTGTGTATGTGTGTGCTATGCGTGTGTGTAGTACAGCATGGGAAAAAGTCAGGAGAAGGTGATAAGAGGAAAGAAAGAGGATAGGAAATGAGGAATAAACAGGAGGAAAAAAAGCCAATAGGGAAGAGAAAAAAAGGGAAAAGGAGCTAGCAGGGATCTCAGGACCATAGATTTACAATAACAGTAGCTAGTGTCTATCTCTCTCTCTCTCTCTCTCTACACACACACACACACGCAGGCATGCACACTGGGTTTTGCAAAGGGCTTTAACATATACTGACTCATTTGACTCTTACAACAATCCTATGAGTTAGGTGCTATAATTATCCTCATTTTGCAGATGAGTAAACTGAGTTGAGGGAGGTTGTTGCCTTGCGCATTGTGCTCCAGCTACAAAGGTAATTTGCACACAGATGGTAAGGAAGACTTTGAGCTGGAAGAAACCTTAGAGGCCCTCTACCCCAAACTCTCTATTTTACAGATAAGATCACTGAGGCTCAGAGGGATTAAGTGACTTGTCTGTGGTCACACAGCTGGAGAATATCCGAGGTAAAATTTGAACTCAGATCTTCCTGACTCCAAGTCCAGTCCTCTGTCCCCTACAATCTGCTGCATGTCAATGGGAACATAAAAAGATGGGGGAAAGGAGGAATAGGAAGGTTTGTTATTGAATGAGGAAAAGAGGAGAAAGGAAGAAAATAATATAATCATAATGATGATGATGATGATAATGGAACAGTATAATCCAACTTGGGGTTGTCACTTCCCCTCACATATCAAGCGCTCTGAAGTTATGGAAGCACTCTGAAGTCACAGGCATAAGCCTATGGATTTAGAACTGGAAGAGAGCCTTCCATTTTATAGATGAAGAAACAGAGGCCAGGAGAGGAGAAATAATTTGTCTCCAGTCTCAGCTAGTTAATGGCAGAGTCAAGATTCAAACCCAGGTTTTCTGATTCTAAATCCACCATTCTTTTCACTCCTTTGTTCCCATGGTCTGTTCAGACCTGACATTCTATAGTACTGTGAGAAAAAAAGGGGGGGGGGCGGAGAGAAAGGAACAGGGTTTCACCACCTTGAGGGTGTGACAAGCCTTAATGGTGGAAGCCAGGGAGAGGCAGTCTCGGGGTGGTGAAGAGAAAGAGGTTCCATTCGAAGTTCATGCCGCAGTCCTTCACTCCGAATACCAGATCCAGCTCTTCCAGCCGCCGGAGCCCGGCCACCAGCTCTCCCAGCTGATAGTGATCCATGCTGAACTCCTCCACCTCAGTTTCGCTGGCTGAGTCTGACTGCTCCATTTCCTGCACCGGCTGTTCCAGCTTCACGGGGGGCAGGAACTGGTCCACGCAGAGCCTGACCACGTAGTCCTGGCACAGAGGCACCAGCTCCAGAATCACGTTGGGGTCCGTGGTTCCCGGGATGAAGTATTTCAAGAGCTCCTGCAGGTGCCTCTCGAAGAACATTCGTTTCCAGCTGTTACCATACTTCTCCACGTGTCCCACCGTCCAGCGCTGGTTGCAGCGGCGGCGCCAGTAGCTCTCGTCCGAAATCAGGTTGGCGACCACCTTCAGGGGCAGGTCAGTGGAGAGGCGGTCCAGCACCCTCCGCTGCTGGACTGGATTGAGCTGGGTGAGTATAGGATTTTCTGTGGAGAGGAAAGGCAGAGTAGAACCAAAGGCCATCCTGTTTGTAATCAATGGGTCAACACAGGCATTTATTAAGCTCCTACCAGAGGCACGGGGTAGGGAGGGAGCGGGGGGAGATGGTGGAGGGAAGCTTATAGTGAATGAGTGCACAGCGCTGGACTTAGGAAGAGCTGAGTTCAAACGTAACCCTGGACAGTCACTTAACTTGTCTGCCTCAGTTTCCTCATTTTAAAATGAGGATAATAATAGCACCTACTATATGCTAGAATAATAATATAACAACATAAGGTGATATACCTAAAGTGACTTGCCAGCCTTATAAATATAAATGTTACCTATACTTACGAACTATGAGGATGCCATAAAAGTGAGAGTTTCTGCCTTCAAAGAACTTATATTCTCAGATGTTCACAGATAAGAAAATGTATATATAAAACAAAAACAAAGTGGTTGGCATGGGGCACTAGCAACTGGGGTAATCTGATTTTTTAAAAAAAAATTTAAATCTGCTTCTATTTTATCTGCCAAGGAGAATAATTATTTTTAAATTAAATTTTATTTTTTAATGAACAAAAATTCCACTTCTCTCACTCCCACATCCTTCCCCATTCCATTGAAAAAGAAAGAAAAACAAAACCCCTGTTACATATAGGCATAGTCAAGCAAAACAAATTTCCAAGTTCCTTGAAGGGAGGAAAACATTCTAGGCATGGAGGGAAAGCCTATACAAAATGCAATGTCCAATGTATGGGGAACAGCAAATAGGCCAGTTTGATTGGATAATAGGTGACAGGCTGGGAAGAGAACAGAGGAAATAAGCTTTTATAAAACACCTACTATGTGCCATGCACCGTGTTAAACACCTTTACAAATATCTTATTTGATCCTCACAATAAGCCTGTGAGTTAGGTGCCATTATTATCCCCATTTTATAGTTGATGAGCCTGAGGCAAACCCAGGTCACTCAGACTATCCAGGATCACAGCTTCACACATGTCCAAGGTCATATTTGAATTCGGGTCTTCCTGACTCTAGGCCTAGCATTCCACCCATTGCCAGTAGCTGCCTCAGGGACCTGGTCCCTGCATCTGGATTTCTCTAATTGGGAAAACTCCTAGATTTCTCCCCAATCTAAAAAGATCAAAGTCTCTCTTTCTTAGGATACTGACACCTTTGATCTTAATTTACACTTGAACAACCTCAAGCTAGAAATTCTGCCTGTACCTCAATTTTTAATCTCCTATTACTTTTTGTCTTCTTGCCTTTTTCTTTCTATGCCAGACATAGAAACAGACATCTATGCCAAATCTGAGCATACTTTCCCCCTCCTTTTCTTCTAGGATTTACTTGTTCACAGGGGAAAGAGTAATATAAATTCAGAAATATCACAACAGGCCACTGGAAATCAGAAATCTGTACAGAAGAAATATACCCAGTGTAGAAGGCGTAGCACTATTTCTTATTAATTTCTTCCAGTTCAGCTAAAAATCTTCTATCAAGGAGGATTGGTGAAAATATCACCAGAGTGGGGTATAGTTAATTAGGGAAGGCTTCCAGGAAGAAGCAAGCTTGCTTTGAACTGTTTTGTTTTGACCCAGGGTCTCCCTAAGTGGACCAGGCTGGAAGTGGGGTAGCTATGCAGAGGCCCAAACTTGGTACTGGTCTTCATGGAAGGTTTACCCTTGCTCTCTTTTTCTGACCTAGGTGTGTAGCCCTCAAGGAGCATAGAAACCCTAAGATCATAGATCTGGATCAAGAAGGCACTTCAGGAGTCATCTAATCCAATCCACTTCATTTTACATCTGAGGAAACTGGGTGATGGGGGCAGGATTTGAACCCAGGTTCTTCACCTTCCAATCCAGCACTCTTTCCATTGTATGACAAATGGCGGGTCATATGATCATGGGATCCCAGATGTAGAGCTGGAAGTGGTGGAAAAGACCTTAGAAGTCCAATCCCCCTCATTTTACAAATAAGAAAACTAAGGCCAAGGGAGATTAAGTGACTGGCCTAAAGTCACAGAGATAGTAGATGTTAAAGGTAGGGTACCTCAGTGTACCCTGAGTTCATTCATTAAATCACCTCCAACTCATCCTTTACTCTCACTGTCAAAATTTTTCCTTACTCGCAACATAGATCATTCCTCTTCTCCAATATTTCTTGTGCCAGCTTCTCCTTTGAAACTCAGATTTCAGGGGAGACAGGGCAAGGTTGGTCAAGAGCGCAAGGGAGGGCATTATAGACAAGTGGGAAAGGCTATGAAGGCAACAATTAAGACATGTTCTGGTCCCAGGGAGTACACTGGCTTGACTAGGGTAGAGGGTGTTTATGTATTTACTTTGCTACATGTTTTATTAATTTGTTCCCGTTAATATACTGGCTTGTAAGGACTGTTGTGTTTTTCCTGTTGACACTAGGAGCCCTGAGATGGGAAGTAATTTTGTCTCTTCCATGAGCCTAAGAGCTCCTGAAAGGCAGAGACAGTATCTATCCCATCAGACCGGGAGTGCCCTGTAGACAGGGCCTAGCTCTCTCTCTCTCTCTCTCTCTCTCTCTCTCTCTCTCTCTCTCTCTCTCTTTTTGCTTTTTGGTGAGGTAGTCGGGGTTAAGAGACTTGCCCAGGGTCACACAGCTACTAAGTATCAAGTGTCTGAGGCCAGATTTGAACTCAGGTCCTCCTGACTCCAAGGCCAGAGCTCTATCCACTGTGCCACTTAGCTGCCCCCACAGGGCCTAGCTCTCTTGTCCAACTGGAAACTCTCTAAAGGTAGGGACTATGTCTCTGCCATTAGACTGGGAGTTATCTGAAGCTGGTTTAGCTTTTCCTGGGACTGGAAAACTTTCCAGAGTGGCCAAAAATTTCTTCTGAGCCATCCATAGATCCATTAAAAGAAGTTTCATCTAATTTCAGTCCTGATGGTTAGGTCTGGGAATGGGGGGTGTTATGAAGTGAGGATTGTTGAGAATGTTAGCTGCTGGGTCTGGAGGAAGCTGAGAGTTGGGGGGAGTCCCAGGGTTAGGAGTAGAAACCTAGGGAAACATTCTTTGAATGCCCTAGTTAAGAACCTTTCCTTCCCTAACCTGATAGGGTGCATCTCTAGGAGTCCATGGCACAATATCCAAGGACACTGACCATTGCCACAGATCCCCTTGGCCTCCACCTCCCAGCTGCCTCGAGGGTAGCCTCCCTGGGGTAAGTAGGGATAGAGGGGACTTACTTTCAAAGTTGCTGACAATATACTGCAAGCAGAGTTCAGAGAGCCTGGGTATGATGGTCAGGGACCATTCTGGGTCCTCTGCAATGATTCGCCGCATCCTCCTCATGTTGGAGGCTGGGTTCGATAGTGAAATCTTTGATGGTGGGGGGATTGCCATGGTTATCTGGGAGGAGGTTGGGGCTGGGATACAAAGAGTTCAGTGGTTTTGTATCAGGAGATTCCTTAAGCAGAAAGAGCCAGAAATGAGTGGCTGCTGAGGTCCTAGGGCAAGAGACATTGTTAGTGTCAGTAGCTGGCACATTGCAGGTACCCACAAAATGCTTGATGTTAATGATGGAGATGGAAATCAAGCTGGGCTGTGGCCAATGGGGCATTGAAACAGACAGCTTAGCAGCCATCTTGTAGTCTTCTTCAGGCCAGTCCAGGATGCAGGAAGGGCTGGAAGGAGAAGAGTGGGCACCATGGTGGGAGGGAAAGGAGCTGAGGGAAATAGGGGGAGGCTAGGGGAACATCAGAGGAAAGGCTATGGAGCCAGGGTACGCTGAGGGAAAGGTGGGGGGTGGGAGTCTGTGGATCTTAACATTTTGGGTGCAGTCTATGATTTCATCAGGACAGGAAGCTGGGCTGAGGAACTCCCCCTACCAATGCGGACTGATTCCTTCTCTGCACTTTACAGTTTGAGAGAGTAGCCTGGGGGTACTGAGAGGTTAAATAGCTTGCCCAGGGTCACAATAGTATGGGTCAGATCAGACTTGACCCTAGGTCTTCTGGACCCTGAAGGCAGCTCTCTATTTACTGTACTACACTGTCTTTCACCTTGGCATTAAAGAAGGGAATTTCTATATTTTTAGGTAAATGGGGGTTGTATCACCAAAGGATAATACTTAAATGTGATTAAACTTTAAAGTTTAATAGAGGATTCCTTTAGTTAGGAGTTTGGTTTGACAGAAGCTTGCTTGTGTGATTGAAGGAGATGGCGGGAAGGGGGTGTATGTGGCTGATGGGGATGGGGAGAGGGGACAGGATTGGGTGCTGCTAGGTGGGGAAGTCTCAAGCAATCGGGTTGAGATCCACTGCAGAATAGTCTTTGAGAGGGAATCCCATTGCCTTTACAAATGTAGGTGTACATGGGAGCATATCTGTGCCTGTGGAGGCAAATGTATCTACAGTCTTTCTATATGCAAAGATACACAAATCTCCAGCCCCTCATCTCCCACCTCTGTGTCCAAGCCTCTTAGGATAGAAGAGAAGGTTCTTTCTCCTACATCTTTCCCCTAAATTGGGCCCTGCTTCTTCCCTCTTACTATGGGCTTGGCTTTATGGGTTGGAATAGAGCCAGGCCCATGATCCGGTTGGATGGTCACAGTTCCTGCTCCAGAGTCCAGAGGCTAGTCTCAGGCCAGAGAAGCTGCCTAGGTCAGGCCTGCAGAACCATTTTCTCTCCATTTCTTTCATGGGCTATGGTTCAAGGCCTTTTCTTTCTCCAGCCTCATCCTTTTAGAGTTAGAGTCTGATCCAAAACTGCCAATCAATCAATCAGTCGAGTATTTATTCAGCACCTGCTATGTGCCAGACACTGATCGAGGTACTGGGGATTTGGGTAACAAGAGTGAAATGATTCCTATTCACAATAAGCTAACATTCTAAGCTCAGCTTTCTGGCTTAGGGGTGAGGACAGGGGAGTAGGAAGAGTAAGGGAGGGTCACTTTTGTCTCACTGACCCCTTGACTGCTCATGCTTGGGTCCTGAGCTAGAGTTCTCCTTGAGAATGGGTTAGAGGAGAGAAGAGTAGGGGAGGGGAGATGGCAGGAAAAGGAGGACCCTGGTTTCCTCTTCTTTCCCTACAGACTCTCAACATTCCAGACAACAGCAGGCATGCATTGGCAGTGAAAATTGAAGTAAATCTGGGTCTGAATTTCGGGGGATGTGATTGTGACATAAGGGTATCCTCCACCCACACACTGACACCTTTCCAGCCTTGCTTGTGGGGATCCCCCTTCCCAAAGGCAAGGGCTGGAGCTGGGACAGAGGCTGGAGTAGTTAGGACCCCTGTGCCCTCCTCCCTAAGTCTCTAACTGCTTGCCTGGACTCCTTTTGAATCTGCTCCTTGGCTTCCTGCATGGCGGGGAGGGCTCCTTTGAATCAAGCCACTGTGCTCCCTGGCACAGAGAGCACAGCAGATGGTGCTACCCGCCCCCCCAGTCTAGCCCCACTCGGCGACTCAGTGCTGGCTGCAGCACAAGTCTCTTCCTCTGTGGCCCTGCTAGGCAGCCCTTCAACCACCTGAGGAAGGGGTTTGACCCTGAGGAGGCTAGAAGGAGAGTTGATGTGGAAGACCCATAGGAGGGATTGATTATCTGTGAGGCAGAGGCTCTATTCTGTAAGAGGAGGAAAGGGGAGGAGCTGGGGTTGGGATTTTTGCACTTTGATGCTCAGAGTGGAAATGAAACTCAGATTCATGCAGATTAGAATACAACACATTTAACTAGCCTAGACAATTTGAATGACAGAACTGTGGGGATGTAGTGGGGGGGGCAAGATTGGGTCTATGTGTGGAGAATGAAGTCTATGAGTGAATGGGATCTGTAAATGGGGATTGGGCCTTTTGAAGGAGGAGGATGGCTCTGAGAAGGGATGGAGTTTGAGGGTGGGATAGATTCTGTGAAGAAAGATGGGGTTTATGAAGAGAGTGAGGTCTGTGAAGTGAGAGGGTCTATTGAAGTAGGTTGGGGCCTCTGAGGAAGGGTGGGTTCTGTGAAGAGGGATAGCGTTTATGAAGGTAGGAGGTTTATGAAGGGGGTCTATTGAGGGATGATGGGGCTTGTGAGGACGGTTAGGGTCTATGAAGAAGGATAGGGCCTCTGAGGGAGAATAGTGTCTGTGAGGGAGGATAGGTCCTTTAAGAAGTGAAGAGGCCTTTGAGGGGGATGGGGGTTTTCAGGTCAAGCCTGGAATCAATGGAGTGGGTGCTCTCCTAGCCTCCAGGCTCCTGTGGTACGTATTCTGGCTTGGGTCAAGGGCCCATGAAGGAGGGTGTGGTCCCAAAGAGGATGGAAGAGTCAGAGAGCAGGTTAGGGAGCTCAGCAGTGCCTGGCTCTGAGTCATCTTCCCATTGACTCAGCAGGCAGAAGGCAGTTCTGTTCCAGCCTGGAATCTTTCTCTGAAGTCTAAACTTTTTCCCAGTACGTGAATGCCTTCTAGGGGATGGCTAAGTGGAGGCTTTCCAAGCTTAACCTTTCCTCCTAACCCAGCCCTGCCTGGAATCTCCTCTAGGGAGGACATCTTTCAATTTGGGGTAACCAAGGCCAGTCCAGCAACTGCCAGTAGGCAGTTATTCACTCATGTGGGTGACCAGATGTCCTAGTTTGGCTGATGACCTTGATTTTCAGTGACCTGCATTGGATGGACAGATGTCTTCTCAGTCCATTATACAACTGATGACAAACTGGGGTTCTCAGAGACAGAGGTGAGGAAGGAGGGCATAGGGGATGACCAGTACAAAGCTATGAAGATGGGAGATGTAATATCGAGGAATAGAAAATAGGCTAATACAGTTGTGGAGGGGAGTAATGTATAAGAACATTGGAAGGATGGGATGGGACCATCTCCTCTCTGTTCACATGGCTACCACCCCATGAGGTCAGGCCCTAACCACCATTTGCATCAGATGTTGCAATAAATGTTGCATTATTTCCCTACAAGGAGGGATTTTCCCCTGACTAGTTTCTACAGAAGGAAGGATTTCTTAACAAACAGAGCCATCCAAAAATGCCTTCTTATCCTCTGTGGCCCTTACTCTTATCTTCCCATAAATTCTTCTCAGGGAGGAGCGCTCTCTCCATGTGTGGGGGCATTTCTTGACGTGATATGGCACCAATAACGCACAAGCACTATACATCGATTATCCTCCATGAAACCACTGGCCCACCATTCCCAATCATATATCTTTCTGTTGATGTTTTCTGTGCTACTTCTCGGGCACAGTTGCATTCTACCCATGCCCACCAACAGTTTCTCTGTTGCCTTTTGGGTGACCTGCAACTTTACTTCTTCCGAAATTGTAGTAATCTCTGGAAGCATAAGGATGTTAAAATGACAGACCTTTCTTTCAAGAAGCACTTTACCATTTCTCCAAAGTAATCCAGGTCTTCTTTCCTCCTCCTATTCTCCTCCTTCTCTGGGCCCAGTTTGCTGTTAATCCAAATTTCCTGTTCGAGGTATAGAGCCTGATGGCCCAACTTTATGAGCTGTTGATCCATCTGCATATAGTGGAGATAACAGACAATCTTCATCCATTTTATTTTTGCTGACTGGATTATTAAGATGAATTCTTTTTGAGGGATTGTGGAGCTCACATGGTGGGCCTTGTGGTGTTCTGGATGTTCTTGATGGGATCAACACAATGTCATTTGCAAACAGGACCTTGCCACCTGTAAGGTATACTTCTATTTGGACTCTACACTGGGTGTCCTTCAAGATGGTGGCAAACTTTGTTAAGCATTTCTCCCTCTGTTTAGTTCTCACTTGATGCTGATAATCAGAGGGTTGTCAATCTCTATTTACCCCAAGTGGGTTTAATAGCTAAAGTTATTCATACTACATAAGAGGTTATTTATAGTTTAAATGTATTTCTACTAGAGTACAGAGGCCAACCTATGGATCCTTTAAATTTACATAGCTTGTTAGTCTCCATTGGGACATAGGGCTCTCTCCTTATCTTGGATTTCATAGTTAGCGATTTTAACAATACTTTCTCCCTAAAATACCTCATTCCTGTGCCTTCTTAATTAATGTTCAAACTTAGGTCACTCCCACAACTTGCTTTCCCTATTCTTTCTGGGCTGGAGTTGCTAGAGAAAATCAGGTTGATACAAGAAGATCTATATTTGTGGGATTGACTTCCATGGCATACTTATTGTTCCTGGACAATCCTAATATTAATCTCTTGTTGATTTTCCAGTATTCTCCCCCACCCCTACCCTCACAGTGATTCTAGATCTTCAATGCCAAATATTCCTTCCCTTCTTTCTCTTTCCCCAAGATGACCTCACTTCCTGCTTGTCTGGGACAATGGAAGTGAACAGGCTTGAGCACCCTCCCTTTCCATTCATTATCTGACTTTTCACCTGGCTCAGAGGAGGAAGTGTTTCTTCTTCATTTCTAAGTTTAACTTAGTGCCTCTGACCTCTATATTTACCTGCTTTTTCTGGAGCTTTGTTCAGGCAACTATCTCGTATCTCAACGATATCTTTATTCTCCTTTTTTCCAATGGTTCATTCCTCTCTGCCTATAAACACGCATACATCTCCTTAAAAAATCTTTCTACCTTTTAACAATGTCTCTGCTCCCCTCAACACCCCTCATACTTTATCTCCTAGAAATCTGAGCTCTGTCACACTCTATTAAAATGTTTTCTTCAAAGTCATTGACAACTTCCTGATTGAGATCCAACAGCCTTTTTACATAATATTCCTTCCTGGGCTTCTCTGACACTGCTATGTAATGCTTAGCACACTAAACTTGAAATCAGGAAGACCTGTGTTCAAATGTCTCTGAATCTAGCTAAGTGATCATGGTTAAATCACTTAACCTATCTTTAGTTTCTTCATCTGTAAAATGAAAGGTTGGATTTGTGGGTCCCTCCCAGCTCTAAATCTGTGATCTTTCCTGACTCTCCTCCTACCTTTCTAATTGCTCCTTTTCTGGTTCCTCTTCTTCTTCTTCCTGTCCTCCAAGGCTCTGCCATTGACTCTCTTCTCTCTCTACACTCTGAGATCTCATCTACTCTCATCTGCTCACCTTTATCTCTAGCCCTGACCTTTTTCCCAAGTCCCAGTCCCACATTTTAAACTTGCTTCTGCAAGTTTACTTTACTTGGATGTCCCACCCATATCCCAACCTTAATATACTAAAAATGCACACATCCTTTAAACTTGTTTCCTTGCTTAATTCCCCTGAGATACTATTATGGGAATGGAAGAGAAGGAACAAATTTAGGTGATTCTTGACAAACTAGGGTTGACTGCAATTGGGTTAACACTAGCGGAACAGAATAAGCATTTCTATAGCATCTACTGTGTGCTGCCCACTATGCTAAGTGTTTTACAAATATTACCTCATTTGATCCTCACAACCGTGCAAGGTAGGTGCTGTTATTTTATAGCTGAGTAAACTGAAGCAAACAGAAGCTAGGTGATTGGTCCAGGGTCATGGAGCTACCAAGTCTCACAGTCCAGCTTAGAATCTGGGACTTCCTACGTCCAGGCATACCACTCTATCCACTGTAACAACTAGTTGCCTCTATTCCCACCAGACACTATAACCAAATAGAGCTGGGATCTGATGAAATAATCAACATAACTTGTGGGGAAGACTGTGTGGGGATAGGAGTGGATGAAAAGACAGTCAAGGAACAGGGGATCCAGCCTAAGAGTTATCACCAAGTTAGCTTTTGTTTTTTAGAGTAGCAGGACGAGGGGCAGAAAGGGAAGGAATGAGGAACATATGGAATCATGGAAGGTATCTTCATCTAGTCTACTGCTCCTATTTGACAGATAAAAAAACTGAGGTGCAGAGAAGGGCAGTTAACTTTCCAAGTTACACAGCTGGTCCAGTAAGAATCTCAACTCACATCTCTCAACTCCAAATCCAGTGCCTTTTTCACTATGCCACGCTACTTTCTGTGAGTCTTTGTTCTTCTTTCTCCTTCCCACCCCCCAGAATACTTGAGCTTGGTCTCTCCCAGTCTAGCAAAATTGCTCATAAAAGTGATGGCAACACACGTTTATACAACACATCAGAATTTACAAAGTGCTTTCCTCACAACAGTGTCTGTAGTATAAATATAATTCCCATCACAAAGATGAGACAACTGGCTGGAAAACTGAATGATTTGCCAAGGTCACAGGCTAGTAATGGACGCAGCTGAGACACACTCAGGTTTCCTGCCTCCCATCCCAGGCACCACATTACACTGTGAATGCAGGTTACCCTGTCCTCTAGGCTTATGGCTCTTGCTCAAACCTGCCTGTGGCTTCAGCAGGCCCAAATCCAGGACTGACCCAAAATGAATGAGGGTTTTTTTTTTTAACCTTCCTCACTCTGTCTCAAATACTGGTAACTCCTACTGGGCTTTTCCTCTCAGCTTTCTGCTTTCTAAAGGTCATTGCAGTGCCTGTCCACCCATCCTGTGAGGAGAAAAGGATGCATCAGCCTACTCTGTAGTCAAGGGAAAGAGACTGCAGGGAGAAAAGCTGGGAAAAGAAAGTCAGGGCTCCCCAAAGGGGCCTCTGTCCCAAGGGATATAGAAGCAGAGCAGGAACAAGACGGAGGCATGAGTATTAATGATGTCCCCAGGTCCTTTTCTCCATTTTCTCCTTCCTCCTTCCATAGGCAGCCCAGCCCTCTCCATGACGCTGTTAAGTAAATAATCACTCCCTGGGGACAAGGGAACTCGGGTGTCTTTCTTCGGCAATGAGGTGATCTCAAGTGGCTGCTGCTAGGACTACCAGGCCTTCCTCCCTCCTCCCCCTTCCCCACCAAGAGAGAAGAGGGATCAATTTGGGGAAGCTGTACCACCAAAAAAGTAAGCCATAAAAGGCTATCCTAAAGAAGAGACCAGAGAGTTAAGGGTGGAGACAGGGGCAGAACAGGATTCTTTTATCCAGGGGGAGACGGGGAGGAGGTATGGAGGGGAGGGGGTGGGGAGAGGAGACACAGATCTGGACAGGGTGAACAATAGGGGCATAGGCATAGAGGGGAGCAGGGCACAAGGACATCAGTCGGCCTCCCATCCCCAAGGTCTCCTCACCAGCTGCCTTGGCCGCCTTCAGTTTAGTTGGGACCCTCTGCCCAGCTCTGTCTCCATGGAGATACCTCCCCTCCCCCCAACCGGAAGGCTCTGCATTGGTTGCTATGCACGCAGGCTGTTGTTAAGGGAAGGAGAGTGAGTGTGTGTGAGTGCTTGTGCAGTTTGTCCAGTCTTAGTGTGCTGCATGATGTATACACATGTATGCGCAGCGTGTACTTACATGCTTTGTCCCTCTCTGAGCACACTTAAATGCTTCCCATGTGCAACTTATTCTTTTGTGTGTGAGGGACTGACTGTAGAAGAACTCATCTGGCTTTTCCATCCCCTTTAGGATGAGATTAAGGTTTAGGAAAATGGGTGTTGCCAGGGTCTCTTAAGGTCCCTTTTCCCAGCAGATGGGATGGAAGACTGCACCGACTAACCCTAACCCCTGCCCTTCTCCCCACTGGCCAACCTCAGGGAAAGTTGTGGAATAATTTCCATAACCAGGAACGCTCAGCAAGGTGTGTGTACCTCTCCTCCCCACCTCAGCAGTCACAATAAACCCTAGCACCTTTGTGCAGTCCTTTCCCTACAAGAGGGAAGCAGGTGGTAAATCCCTAGCCCCAGGCTCCTTCTCAGCCTGGCCCCACCCAGTCCCTCTAGAGCCCTCAGCTTCTAGGAGGCAGGAATGAAAAGAGGTTGTGGTCTCTGCATCTCACTCCAGTTCCATTTTCTAAGGGGTTAGGGTGTGGCCCATGAGGAGGGTTATCTGATTGGACAGTGGAGGGAGGGTTAAATCCTAGCATCTTTTCCTTCATTTTCAATGCTCCCCCCTCCCCCAATGAGCTCATGTCCTTAATGAGGTTGAGAGGGAGGAGGAGCCTGGCCGTAATAGAAGACTTGGAAACCCCAGAGGCATAGGCAGGGCAGGAGTAAACAACACTGGGGCCAGGCACTGGGAACTTTGGAGACGATTGGGCTCACAGCAGTGATTAATCAATAAATCAGTAACATCTTAATTAAAATGAGAAATCAGCTGTCAAGTAGAATGCACCATGGAGGGGCCAAGCTCCACTTGAGGAGAGACCTTTAAATTACATCTTTGGATACTGGTAGGCAGGTGGCCCTTTTAAATTTTGATGCTCAGCCATCAATCCAGATCCAGTTATGGGGACCCTGGCCTGGAAGGGGGAGCCATCCTAAGTGGCTCCCTTGTCCCTCATTAAGGCTCCAGAGAATGCCCAGTTTCCCAAGCATTTGGGGGTAGAGTCTGGAAAAGGCTACCAGGAGACAGAAGCAAAAGATGCCTAGACTGAGGGAGGAAGAGAGGATATCATTTCACCAGGGTGTCCTTTTGTGACCTCGGAGGGACTCAGCTGCTTGCCCTGGGGCAGAAGTGTTGTTTAATCTTCCCTCTGGTCTGAGCTTTCAGACCCTTACATTTTTAGTTCTGCAGACCACGGGGGTTGGGTTCATCCCTGTTGCTTGCTCAGGTTGGATGCTGTCTGCAGACAGACTGAGTCAGTGGTGACAGAGGTCTCAGATCCTAGGTTCAGTTCCAAGTCCCACACCTCCCCCAGCCAGGCCTGAGGAACAAGCAGAAGTGACCGATCGGGGTACTACTGAGCACCCTGAGCAGTCGGAGATGGGAGGGGAAAGGAAAGAGCGTTCTCCTTCCCAGTAACTTTTGAAAGCTGTTCGTCCCCTAGTAAAGCCCAGCACTTAGTTCCTGTGAGCCAGGGCTGAGGATCAGGCTGGACAGATTCATCTTCACTTGGTTGTGGGGGGTGGGAGGTGGGGGTCCTCCCAGGGTCGCCGTTCAAATTCTCCTGCCCTGCCCCACAATGGGGAAGTTGGCACAGAGGAAGGACCAAGACAGTTATGCTGTGGCTTTTCTGTCTCCATCCCTGGTTTCTTAGTCATTAGGCACTGGGGCCTCTGGCTTCTGCCCTACTGAGCTGCCCTGTTCCTCTTCACTCCAAAAGTCCTGGGTTAGAGCTGGTTGAGGGCAAAGGATCGGGCAACGTTCAGCACGGCCTCCACATCACCAGTGTGCCCCGCTCCCTGTGCCACAACTTGGGAGCCCCAGGCCTTGCCTCCCATATGGCTACACACAACCGATGCCCAGGTTTCAGCAGTGAAGGTGGGGACTGCATCCTAGGGAAAGAACAGACAGGAACTGACCTTCCTGCTGCCCCTCACCACCAGCACACAGCACCCTGGGAATCTCGGGACACCCGAGCCCCAGTCACGGTAGCTCTTATCTGCAGTTGGTCTTGGTAGGGACATCATATTAGAAGCCAGGGAGGAAGCTCCTGGGGATGAGCCAGGGAGGGCCCATGGGGGAGGGAAGACAAGGGAAGCTGTACTTAGTCCCATGGGGGGGTGACTTATGCTGGTTTGCGAGGCTCAGAGCTTCAGGGACCAGAGGCTCTGTCCCTGCTAAGTTACGTAGCCATAGAGCTCCAAATCATAAATAAAGTAGAAGAGAACATGGGAATACTTGTTCCACACTGGGACAGGTGACTGAAGAATACTCTCTTTTCCTCGGGTGGGCACTGTTTTCAATAACAAGAGAAATTCCCTACCCTGGGATATCTGTGAATCCCTTTTCCTGTAGCTCCTACCCATCCCAACCACTGTTGGAGAAGAGACTGAACGAAGGGATGTCAGCATGAACCAGACGATCCGGAAGAGTCTTTCATTTTAACCATTTAACCAAGAGAGGAGAGGTGGGAGGAAGGATGGCAGCACACCTTTCCCATGTCTACTCACCTGAGCCACCTGACAGGCACACAGGACCTTCCCTGGGGTCTGGGGACTGAGCAGTAACACGGAGGTGCCAGGGACTTGCTCACACAGCTGTTTCACCACCTTCACTAGCAACTGGGGAGGTAGAGAGAGTCATCTAGAGCCACTGTGACTCAGTGGCCCCTTCCTTCACTAATTACACGTCTTTTCCCACTAGTATCCCCTTGACCACTGGTTCCTTTCCCTCTAAAGCGCAAAGCAGTCCCTCAGTAAGATTCTCACTGCAACCCTTCTTTTCCATGATTCTTGTCTCCCTGTCCCAGCTTCTTCCCTCCCTTTTCCTGAAGCCCACCCACTTCCTCAGTTTCCTTCCCTCCTTAGGAGACCCCTGTCCTCTGATTCTTCCCTATGACACACCGAGAGGGACTCAGCTGGGACTGTGTCCACAATGAAGGGCCCCACAGGGTGTCTCTCCAGTAGCTCCTGGGTTTTTGCTGTGGCCTGGAGAACAGAGAATGGAGGGGGCAACAAAGAGAGAAGAGAGCATGTATCTGAGTAAAACTCTGTCATTCCCCACATATTCCTCTTTCCCCTTCTTCCCTGAGCTGTGAGAGAACAGTTCCCACCGTGGCTGTCTCAGTCTGGCCTTAGCATCAGTACTTCCTCCTATGCCCTCCCTATGCCTCCTCCAGGTTCTGAGAAGTGTGGCAAGGACTCTGAGAGGCCTAGCCCTCACTGTTCTACCAAAACCGGAAGTTCCACTGAAGTCTTCCTCCATCCAAGGCAAGCTGCCTTTTGAGAACACTAAGCCCTGGCCTCTTTCTTCCTTCTGCCCCTACTCACATCCTTGTAGACCTTCTTCTTCAGGAAGTCTTCCCTGATGACTTCTTCTTCCTTATGAGCAACTTCTAATTTCCCCATCTCCCACCCCGTACAAGTGCCCTGGACTTATCTGGGCCAATTCTGTTGGGTATGCCACCTAGATGACTGTCATGCTGCATGTTCCAAGCCGTGGGACAGGGCTGTCCCTCCATGGGTCCAGCACAGACTAGCTCCCTTACCAGCCCTATCTCCAGTTTTCGGATGGCAGTGTTGGCACGACGCTGCAGTTTCTTCAGGACTGCCTGCAGCTCTCGACGTTGCCACTGGGGCATCACAGCTGTGTCCACTGTCTGTGGTCAGAGAAGGCAACATCACGCCTACATTTCCAGTCTCTCAGTGCTCCAGGGCAGAGGCAGGGCTTGGTCCAAAAGCACCCATCCATCCCCTTCCCACTCAGAAGTTCCCGACAGAAAATGCCCAGCCTGGTCCCTCTACTGGCCAACCTGTTAACCTTCTTGGTATGAGGCAGAGAGACCTGTAAAGGGGCTGGGGTGGTATGAGAAAAGGGGTACAATACAGCAGGAAGAAAAGAGAAAGGATGTGGTCCTCACATCACTGAGCCGTCCCACATCCTTTGACAGTCGCTGAGCCTCCCTGACATCCTGGTTCCCCTGGCTCATTCGAGCTGCAGCTGCTTCAACCTCTTGAGCCAGATTCTGGCCAACATCACGGGCCTGGCAAACGGAGAAAGGGACTATCTCTTAACCACGATGACTCCAAGGTTACCTCCCACCTTGCTATGGCTTCCCCTGGACCAAAGATCCCGGGCGTGTTTATGCCCCGCCCCAGCTAAGGATCCCTTCTTTCTCTTCATTTTCCCCTCAGTCCAACCTGCCTTTTCCCTCCCCAACTCTTTCTTCCTATGTGATCACTGACCTGCTGGGCCTGCTCCCCAGTGACAGCCACCAAGCGGATGATGCCCTTGGACAGCGGTCGTTCTCCTATAATAGTCAGGTCCCCTATGGCCCCCGTGCGCAGCAGGTGCCTAGTGGCAAAGGAAAGGGGGATGGGGGAGGGACAGGCATTCTAGAGAAGAATCCAGAGCCTACAGACCACACACTGGAATGTGGGGAAGCAGCGATGGAAGGGTTAATGGGAACACCAAGACTGAGAGGACTCTAAGGCACAAGGGGCACTGGGACAGAGAGGGGGTGACTTACGTGCCACAGCACAGTTCTACGGAGGTGTGCAGTGCAGCCTGGGAGGCAGGGGCCAGGGCACTGGCTACAGGTACACCCACAGACACCACCCGAACAGGGTCAGGGTATATCTGTGGCAGGGGGAAGAGTAGGTACATTTAAAGACAATAGAAGCAACACTGCTGAGCCTTCTACTAATCCCTACCATTCTTCCTCTCCCTCTTACCTCATCAAGTGAGCGTAAGCCTGGAACTCGGGTGGTCAGCTCCAGAGCCACCTCGGCCATATATACAGGCTCATCCCTCCCCACGGCCTCTCGGACAGCTTCCTCCACTGCCTGAAGCTGCTTGGATGTCAATGGGGCCTCGAGAAATAAGGGGAAGAGAGAGTGATTCCCCCGGACTTATTTCTTCATAAATGAGCATTTATGGTAGGTGGCTCCACGACTGGTGGATCTGATGATTCTCAAAACCAGTGAATCACGCAAGAAATCTACTAATCAAAAGCTGAACTCTTTGTTATAAGGGGATCTAAAGAAATAAAGAAGCAGGTTTCTGCCCTCATGAAGCTTACAATCTATAAAGTGAGCGGGTTCTACTCATAATCATCATCCTAGACAACAACTATAACACTAGGAGCCAGTAACTGCAATATGACACGCTTAGTCTAAGCTGAGCAGGCGTGCTAAGGGGTGCTGAGTGAAGGGAAAGGCTGAGATGATTCCTGAAGGGGTGGGTTTTGAGCCAGACACAGAAAGCGGGGAAGGACACAGGTGGGCAGAGACATGTGTAAAGGGGAGTGATCTTGGAAATGGCAGAAATAAGCAAATTACGTAGATGGAAAAGACAGCTGCTCTTCCTCTCTCACCCAACTGGTCTGGTGCATCTCCTATGAAGAGCTCATGGGATAAAGAATGTCAGAGCTAGAACGGATCTTGGAAACCAGTCTCATTTTAAGGGAGAGGAAACAAAGATCTACAGGGGTAAATGATTTGTCCAAGCTCATACAATCAGTATCTGAGAGAGGTGGGGACAGAACTCAGGTCTTTTTAGGCACCGGATCTGCATTCTTCCTATCACATGCCACACTGCCCCCATCATCAGGCAGTGTCACCAACCGTCCCTACTCTTCCCACCTCACATAATTAGAGCACGAAGAGACCCCAGAAGTCATCGAGTCCAAGCCAGCCCTGACAAGGAATGCCCTCTAGAACATCCCAACGAGTGGCTTTCCAGCCTCTGCTTGGAGACCTCCAGTCCTGGGGAGTCCACACCGGAGGCAGCACCTTTCCTTTTTTTTTTTTTTTGAGACAATTGGAGTTAAGTGACTTGCCCAGGGTCACACAGCTAGTAAGTGTCTGAGGCCAGATTTGAACTTAGGTGCTCCTGACTTCAGAGTTTGTGCTCTATTCACTGAGCCACCCAGCTGCCCCTGCAAGTTTTCTTTTGAACAGCTATTATGGTCAGAAAGTTTGTTCTTGTATGGAGCCAAAGTCTGCTTCTCTGAAGTCTCTACCAACTACTCCTCCCTCTGTCCTCTGGAACCAAGCAGAATAAGTCTGCTCTCTCTTCCCTCTGCCAGTCCTTTGGAAGATGGTTATCATGCCCCTCCCTAAGTCTTCTCTCCTCCAAGTAAAACACCCCGAGTTCTTTTAACTGATCCTCATAAGTCAGTCCTCTCACTCCCTGGGGTTGTACTCTTTCAGATGTTCCTGCCCCTCTCTGGTCTGTCCACCTTGTACTTAATGTTTGTGCCCTTCATATTGCCCCTGCCCACCTAGATCTGCACGTGCCCCTCCCCCCGACCCTTTTTCTGCTTACTAGGGTGGCCACATCAAAGCGAAGTCTCTCGGGGCTGAGGTGCGAGCCACACTGCTCCACGTCTGGGCCCAACTCCTGCCGCAGCGCCCAGCTCAGCAAATGGGTGGCTGTATGTTTCTTCATGCAGCCCAGACGCCATTCCTATAATACAAAAATTCTCATACTTACCTGGAATATTGGGTTATCAGTTTTGTGGAAAGGGAATCTGAAGGGAAGGGGGCGAGCAGGGATGCAGGTGGGGTGTAGCTCGAGTCAGAGGGGTTTAGGACATCCTCCCTCCTCCCTTCTATTCCTCGTCCATTTCAAGAAGCCCTGAAAAGTGGGATGGAGTCATAGGGCTGGGGTAGCAGGAGGGCCTTACCTCATCCACATACAGCTGTACCTGGTCCCCAACCTTCAAGGTTTCAGGGGCTATCACCTCATGCAGAATGAATCCCCCATAAGTCTGGGCCCCAATTACTGGGAACAGCACATCCTTAAGGAAAGGCAGAAGGACAAGAGTATTGCTCCTTTGCTTTCAATATTCTCTCTATGCCCCCATCTCCTCCCCTCACAGGTCTATTACCTGCAGAGCAGCTCCCCTCAAACTATCAGGCTGACCGGCCCCCCCCCCCGGTATTCAGGGGAGATGAAAGAGTCATGAGAGTGTATGCAGAGGAATAATCAGCGAGTGCTGTATGGTGGAGAAGATCTCCATCCATTCAATAAATATTTAGTGAGGTCAAGGCACTGTGGGGGATCCAAAGATGAATAAGACAGTTTCTGCTCTCAAAGAGCCTACAGTTGGCAGGAAGGAGAAAATGGACATAATCATAGAACCAAGCAGGATACAGTAAGTATGTTAAGGGAGGTGGAAAGCCAAGTTATAGGAGCTCAGAGGGAAGAGGTGAGTGTGACAAAGCACATATGTTGTGTGTGGAGAGAGTGTACGGGGGAAATCAGTGGGTACTAGAGTCTCACTCACTTGTTGCCCTTTGCGTATCAGGTAGCCTCGGTCAGAAGACTGGCCTCCTTGCTCAGCATAGAAGCTGGTCTTATCCAGGAGGAGGCCGCAACGTTGACCCCCTCCAGCTGAACCTATGGCCACCCCATCCAGGCTATACAACCGTATTATCTCAGCTTCACAGGCTCCAAATTCTGCAGGCGGGGGAAGGGGAGAATGGGGTCAGTGCTAGAAGGGACGTAAGCCTCCATTCTGGCTTGTGGGGAATCTGCTGATTCATGAGGAAGTTGGACTAGATCAGAACTTCAGAACCTGGGTCTGTGAACTCTTTAAAAATACTTTGATAACTGTACTTTTAGCAAAATTGGTTTCTTTTATAATCCTACGTATTTTAGTTTTTATGTCTTTAGAAACATTATTTTGAGAAGGGGGCCATGGGTTTCACTAGACTATTGGAGGGGCCCATGATACAAAAAAGGCAAGAACCCCTGGACTAGATAATCTCTAAGGTTCCTTTCCGTATTAGGCCCTAAGGGATCACCGTCCCTTCCATTCTGCTGGATAGGCAGAGATGGGCTATGAGTCCATAGCGACATCTGGTGGCCCACTTTGGACACGGGGTAGGATGGTGGTGGTACCTTTTGTCAGGACAGCTCCATCATTAAAGTCAACTGTGAGTGGGTAGTAGGTGAAGGAAGAAATTGTGTCCCGAGCTTCAGCTCCCTCACCCCTCTTCCCACACGGACTCTCACCATAACACCCATTAGGAAGCAATGAGTAATTATACTTGGAGGAGTCATCTGTTGGTGGAACCCTTTGCTTCTGCAGGTGGCCCAGGGCGTGGACATCCAGGCACAATTCCAATTTCTCTGCTGGCTTGGCCTGTTGGGCTTGGCTCCGACGCTGGTAGGGTGGAGAGGACAGTAAGGGATAGAGGGTGCTCCTCCAGTGATAGGGTGGTTGAGGGACTCTTTGACCCAGGATACAACAGGTCTCAAAGCTGAAACTATCTCAGTGTGCTTAGGACCATAGTCACTCCTCACCCCCACCTCTACTTCTCAACAGGAGAGCTTTAGGGAGAAATGAACATGTCATTCACCCCCTTTGCTCCATGTCTCTTCTAGACTAAAGGACCCTGCACCCTTCTCTTTGTCTATGGCTTATGACTAGAATGTGCATAGACAAGGTCTGTCTCTCCCAAAGTGAAGCTCCTTGAGGATGGGTCCAGGTCTCCTTCTTTGTCCTTCCACTGGTCACAGCCCTTCACATAAGGGGTGCTTAGTATAGATGGAAGGACCCTCCTCCCCCCGGGGGACCAAGAGAGCATATGAAATGCCTTGGTACCTGGGCCTCCTCCTGGGCCAGCTGCTGCACACCAGCTGAGTCCAGCTGGACACTCTTCTCCTCCAGCATCAGCCCCACCAGATCCAGGGGGAGCCCCAGGTTCCCAGACAAGGACCAGGCTATTTCAGCTTAAAGAAAAAAGGGACAGAGATCATCAAAGATAGGAGAGGAGAAAGAGAAGGGAATGGATAAAGAGAGGGAAGGAAGGTTTCTTCTAATCCCACAGACTCTGTTTGGCTCCCAGACCCTGGCATGGTGGTCCCTCAACTTCATTTGAACGCAAAGAGCCTAGGATGGAAGACTCCTGGTACGTAAGGTCGCTGCTAAATAGAAGCCCTATTTAGGGTACTCTAAGGGCTCTGCCACCTCAGATGTTGAGGGAAAATTCTAGGTTAAAAACATAGAGCCAGAATTAGATTAGCACCACATGGGGAGTCGGGGGGGTGGGGTGGGGGTGGAAGGCAGGCTCATGGTACAGGAAGAATGATACCGGCTGGTGGAGGTAGAGCAGAGGTCTTCCTACAGAAGGGTTTGGAGTGCTGGGTAAATAGTGAAGGGGGAGAAGAAAATGAGGTAGAGGGTAGGGATGGTGATAGGACCATGCTTTCTGAAACTGGTTCCCTCCCCCACCCTGCCACTATTCCCCAAGACATCTCATTTACCTGGGAATAGGTCAGAGGGGCCCAGCTTCTGCAGAGTTCGTTCGATGACCCAGCGACCTCGTTCTAGGGAAGACAGGAAGGCATTTTCTTCCTCTGTTACCAAGCTGATAATCTTGGAGAGGTGGGGAGAGGAATGAGGAGGAAGCAAGACGGGTCAGTTTACATGATGAGGTGGGGACCTTTTTGCTCTCTAGCTCTTTAGATCATGCCCCTCCTTCCACAGAACCCACGCCCTTCTACTCCACCAGAATTTCATACCTGGGCTGTGTTCTTCTGCAGCTCTGGGTAGGCGTCTCCCTGGAGGGGGATGAAGAAAGGCATAGGCAGGAAGGGAGGGCATACTGAGCTCCCTCTGGGTTCAGGGACATTCCATGCCACCTTCTTCTGTCAACTGATTCTTATTACCTGTGTGACCTCGGGCAAATTACTTAAACCTTGGGCTTCAGTTTCATCATGTCTAAAGTGGGAGGCCTTAGACAGCCTCTGAGGTTCTAGCTCTATGATCTTACGATCACAGTAAGACACAGTGCCTGCCTTCAAAGATCTTACAGTTTAGACAAGGGTCATAGGCATGACGAAGAACAGGATCTGGGTGACCACTCAGTCACGCCACCCTTCTCCTCAGACTGATTTTCCAGTCCTTTCTGGGTCGTGAGATAGGCTTGAGGTAAGGGAAACAGTTGGATAAGGCATGAATGAGTACAGAGCAGGGCAAGGGGACACAAGGACACTGGGATTCTTTGGGGGCCAACAGGTGAGACTGGCATGTTATAATCATGGCCAGAGATAAAACACAGGTTCTAATCAATTTCCTCAAGTGTAAAATGGGGATAATGATAGCTTTTATCTCCCAGGGTGGTTATGAAAATAAAATGAGGTTAAATTTGTAAAGTGCTTTGCAAACCCTAAAATGCTTTGTAAATGCTAGCTATCGTTATTGTTATTGTTACTGTTACTATAAGTTATGAGGTGAGAGCTTTCCTGACAAGGGTGAGGATTTCCCCCGAGTTTCTCAATCTTTGGATACTGGATCCTTCATTCCTATGCAAGCAGTTTACACTGTTCTCAACCCTAATGACAGGAAGGAGATGGAGGGGTGGAGGGCATCCCCCAGATCCTCTCCTCAAGGGCCCTGCTCTCACCAGCATCTCCACCACGACGGGTACCAGGCTGCTCAGGAAGCCCGGAGGTGCCTGCAGCACCTCTGAGGAGAAACGAATCGCTCGGCGAAGGATCTGGCGGAGAACCAGTCTGAAAGCAGAGGACATGGATCCGAAACGGAAACATCCCCTCTCCCCACCAGAAGCCTTGTATGTTGGATGTGTCAAGGGAGACCAGTCCTTCTCCATGACAACTCTCCAGGCCTCTGTTCTACCCCTCCTGTAATCCTGTAGCCCCACGTGGACCTTCCAGACTTACGAGGCTCCAGACATGCCAGGGTAAACGCCATCAGCCATACAGATACTCAGGGTGCGGATGTGGTCTGCCACCACACGATATGCCATATCTACGTGTCCCTCGTCGGCCACCCCTATGCGACCCCGGTATGGGGGTGCCCTGCAGCCCTGAGGCATAGTGAGAAGAGACACACTGGATCAGCCTGTCACAGGTCATACCCTTGACCTCGTTTCCCCAGGCAAGACCAAACCTCAAACCTTAGGCACATTTAAAATCTGACTTTATGAATGAATGTGTATGTTGAGGGGTGGCAGTGGGTAGGTAGGTACAATAAGGGGAAGGATGGAAAGAGGTATAAGCTTTTATGAGCTTTATCCATATTGCCATAGCTACAGTTGACCATATTGCATGGTCTGGGCTAGGAGGTAGGAAATTAGGGTCTAAGTCAATCAACAAATATTTACCAAGTGCCAACTTAAAGAAGTCACAGGACTTGAGTTCATATCCTACCCTCTGATTTTTATTACCTGTATGACCTTGGGTAAGTCATGTAACTTCCTTGGGCCTCAGATTCCTCATTTGTAAAAAGGGAGGGGATTAGCCTCAATGGCCTCTGAGGTCCTTTCTAGCTCTGCCTTCAAGTTTCAGACATTTCCTACCTTCAGGGAGCTTTAGACAGCAGTCACAGAATCTGATGGGCTTTAGAACTGGAAAGAACTTGAGAGATCAACTAGTCCAACCGGATTAGTTTATAGAAACAGAAACTGAGGCCTAGACAAGGGAAATGCCTCAGTAGCCAAGCTGAGATTCAAATCCAGGTCCTCTGACTTCCAGGCCCAGAGCTCTTCCCTCTACATCTGATGGAGACTGGAGCAGACCTTCCTTAGGAGATCAGAAGGGAAATGAGACTTTCCTGAGATAAGCAGCAGAACTGGGATCTGACTCTTGGGAATAAGATGAGCCCTGAGCAGGACGTGCAGTACACATGTCAAATCCATGCCAGTTCTATCATGGACGTACTCGGAGACTTTGGGATGGTCACTACTACTTATCATCCTGGGAAGTGCCCAGAAGAGGGATATGGGGAGAGTGGGTTTGGTGGGGAAAGGCTGGGTTTGGTCTTGGGTCCAAGGAGGACAGATTAGAGGGACCTCTTAGGGGGCGATGGGGAAAGGTACCTGGTGTATAGCTGTAAGCAGCGGTGAGAAGAGATCCGTATCATAGGTAGAATGTGTGTTCTGCAACACGGCCACCAGCCTTTCCAGGCCCATGCCAGTGTCCACGTGGTGCTGGGGCAGAGGTTGTAGGCTTCTGTCTGCCTCCCTGATGAGAACAAGTTAGTTACCAAGGGCTTATGAGCATCAATGATTCCCTTAAAGTGATGATTCCATCTCTGAGTTCAAAGTATGAAGCAGAATTACTAGGGAAAGGGATAGAGTGATGGCAAGAGTGGAAGGGGACTGAACAACCCACCCTCCAGGGCTACGTACCCATACTCATGGCCACCAACTATAACTACCAATAGCGGTGGTCACCTCCTTGCTCCAGTGCTGCTCCTCCTATCAGAATTCAGAATTCCTTTCCTAGGCAGGTGTACCTCAGGGTCAGCCTCTGTTTCCACATACCCTTCACCCTTAGACTCAGGCAGCTTTACAGCCAGACAGGATCTTAGAGATCATATCATGTAATGATTTCAAAACTGCTTAATATGAGCTATGAATAAGGGCTTGGTGAGAAAAGATCAATGCTGACAGAAGTCTTCTTTTGAGAATATTGAGCATAAAGTTACATGTATTGAAAATACTTGAAAGGTAGACTTTTTTACATTTTGTAGTAATTTTAAATTCTCTTTCTACTAGATATTATTGGTATTATATAGATATACTGATAATTTCTATGGATTTATTTTATATTCTGCAAGTTTGATGAAATTATTATTTTAATTCACCTTTCAGTTGACTCTTCAGCATTCTTTAAGTATATCATGAAATGTGCAAAAAGGCATTATTTCTCCTTTGCTTATGGTTACTCCCCCAGTTTTTTTTTCTTGTCTTATTGCTATGGTCAGTATTTCTAATACTGTGTCAAATAGAAGTGGTGACAACAGATGTCTTTGTTTGGCCCTGAATTTATTGGAAAGGATTCTAGTTTATCTCTGTGACAAAATAATAGTGGCTTTTGGCTTTAGATACGCTATTTATCATTTTAAGAAAATGTCCACTTGTTCCTACATTTGCTAATGTTTTTAATAGAAATGACTTGCATTTTGTAAAAAAAAACCAAAAAAACAAAAAAACCAGGGGGCAGCTAGGTGGCGCAGTGGATAGAGCACCAGCTCTGGATTCAGGAGGACCTGAGTTCAAATGCGACCTCAGACACATAATACTTACTAGCTGTGTGACCCTGGGCAAGTCACTTAATCCCACTGCCTAGCAAATTAAAAAAAAAACCAAAAAACCCCCAAATTTTTCTGCATTTATTGCTATAATCATGTAATTTTTGTTGATGTTATCATTAATATGGTTAATTTTAAATTTATAGTTTTCCTAATATTAAACCAGACACAGAAGGACAATTTGTACTATAATATCAATACTATAAAAATGAACATTTTCAAGGACTTATAAACTGATGAAGAATGAAATAAGCAGAAGCAGGAAAACAATTTACACAATTACAACAACATTGTTAAAACAAACAACTCCAAGAACTTGCCTTGAGAACTGTGATGAATACAATGACCTTTCAGGATTCCAGAAGACTGATAATGTGACAGCTCTCTTTACAGAGATTTAGGATTTAGGGTGTGGAACGAGACATATATATTTTGGTACATAGCCAGTAAGGGAATTTGTTTTGTTTCCCTACGTATTCTTGTTTCACTATGTATATTTGTTTCAAAAAATGGTTTCCTTTCCCCTCCCCCCATAGGGTAGGGGTGTGGGGGGGTCAATGGCAGAAAACAATTATTAAAAAAAAGAATTAGAGAGAGGTAGGGAGGAGTGGTACAGATATAAAATGCTGCATGCACTTTCAGGTGAGGTTGCTGCATTATTACTTTTATTTAATCGTTATAGTTTGTTACAAGAGATCCCTCTTGAAGTGGGAATGATCTATTATATATGTCTATAATGAATTACACACCAAACTTTTTTTTTTAAAAAGAAAAAAAAGATACTTATTCCATATGGCAACATTTTGGTATGAAACTGGGTTTAACTTCCACTAAAATTTATCTAATTCTCCCCTTCATCCTCCTGTTGGTGGGACCTTTTAAATCCCAGAATAACAATCATGGTGTCCATCAATCCATTTCATGCCCAAAGCTTGGGAAGCCCTAATCCAGTGTAATGGCTTGCTCATATTCATAGAGCTAATCAATGGGACCAGAACCCAGGTTTCCTGATGCCCAGGTCAGCCCTATTTCCATAGTACATTGCCTTGTTACCTGTTGTACTGCATGAAGACCAGATTCCAGAGTTCTACCAGTTGGGGGGGGCCCACTCCTCCTGACAGGTCATAGTGGATTTCAGTACAGGGTCCACAAGGTCCTGTCTCCCCCATTTCCCAGAAGTTCTCCAGTGGCCCAAAGGGAAGCACCTGGGTAGAAGGTACCCTAGGTTAAGTGGGGGAAAAAAAGACAGGTGAGTGTTGGTAGTGTTAAGTAATCTAAGGAAAATCTAGAGGACTCCTCCATCTTGCTTTCTTAATCCATAAATACCTTGAACTGTGGCCTGCCAGCTTCAACTTTGGGTCTTTTGGGATGGTCTGAGACAAGACCTGGGCCAGGCATTTGTGGATCCTAGGTCAAGTTTGAAAATTGTTCCTCCAGTGTTATTATCCTTTGGAGGCTTCATTGTAACACACGCAATTTGATTCACCACAATATAAACATCTAGGTGTCACAGGGAACACAATTTTCTGGTGTTATAAATGTGGCTATTTACACAGAGTAATATTTTAAAATGTCCTTCATTCCTAACAACTTCCCAATGTCTGTTGTGCCCTATGAAAATGCCTATCTTGCTTATTCTTAATTTGGGCTGTGGTTGAATACTGGAGATCTTCACTCTTCCTCTTTTCCTCAGAGAACCAAAAATACAGAATGCAAATTGGCAGCTTTCCAAAGGCTTAGCCTCATATTTTTAGAACACTTTAAAACCATGCTTACCCCAAGCCGAGCCAGATATCCCTGCTCTCGTAGTCTGGAGCCAGCCCCTCAAGAGGGTTACCATCAAAGTAGGTAACCCACAGCCTGTCCTGGGGAATCCTGTAGACTTGCGTCAGCAGCTCCCAGGCCATGCTGCAGGCCTCTTCCTAGGTAGGGAATGATGGTATTAAGGGGAGATGCCATTATCCTTCTGGAATCCCACTACATAACTCAGCTCTTTCTTTCTCCTACATTCATTTGAATTATATTTCTTGTCTTCTTGAACTCACATATATATGTATATATATATATATATATATATATATATTCTTGTTTCTAAACTTTGCCTTAAAGTATCTTCTCTTCCTGAGATGTCCTCCCTCCTGCTTTTGGCTTCCATAAGTCTTAGGCTTTCTTCAGAATCCAGATGAAGTCCCACTTCCTCTATGAGATTTTTCTTGGACATCCTAGCCCTCAGAGAGCACCCTACCTCTCTAAACTCATATAACACTTTGAGTCTGTACCCTTTGTTCGATAGGTATTTGTCAAATATCTCCTATGTGCTGCGTACTGTGCCAACCTTCATGAAACTCATAATCCAATAAGGGAGATAAGATACTTATTCAAATATGTACAACACAAGCTCATCTTATGTTTTCCCCTCTGCTTGGTTCAGGGATCTATACAAGAGTAGCATGAAGGACAGAGGAAGGAATAGGGATCCACTAGCTAATGACACCTTTCTCTGCTAAGTCTTGATTCTTTCCTGACTGCAATGTCCTTGACTGACTCACCTTAAAGTATTCACCGCCAAATGCCCAGTTGCCAAGCATCTCAAAGAAAGTATGGTGGGAAAGGTCTCGGCCCACATCCTCTAGGTCATTATGCCGCCCGCCAGTACGGACACACTTCTGGCTGTTGGCTACTCGCCGGAACTGTGCCAACTCACTACGAGGGTCCACTGTGCCCAAGAAGATTGGTTTGAACTGGGATCAGAGTACAGGGAAGTGGATTCCACAATTAATAACTTATACTTTATGATTACACACATCATCTTTTTCCCCCCCAGTTAATATTTTATTTTTTTCCAATTACACGTACAGATAGGTTTCCTCCTTCTCCAAGATGGTAAGCAATGTGATATAAGCTATACATGTACAATAATATTAAACATATTTCCATATTAGTCATGTTGTGAAAGAAGAATCAGAACAAAAGAGAAAAACCACAAGAAAGAAAAAAAACACAGAGAAAATAGTATGCTTTGATCTGCATTTAGACTCCATAGTTCTTTCTCTGGATGTGGACAGCATTTTTCATCTTGAATCTTTTGGAATTGTCTTAGATCACTGTATTGATGAGAAGAGCTAAGTCCATCAAAGTTAGTCATTGCATAATGTTAATGTTACTGTGTACAATGTTCTCTTGGTTCTGTTCACTTCACTTCAGCATCAATTCATATAAGTCTTTCCAGGTTTTTCTGAAATCTGCTTGCTCATCATTTCTTATTGAACAATAGTATTCCATTACATTCACATCCCACAACTTGTGCAGCCATTCCTCAATTAATGGGCATCCTCTCAATTTCCAATTCTTTGACACAACAAAAACAGCTGCTATAAATATTTTTGTACATGTGGGTCTTTTCCCCTTTTTATGATCACTTTGGGATACAGACCTAGTAGTGGTACTGCTAAATCAAAGCATATTCAGTTTGTAGCCTTCTGGGCATAGTTCCAAATTGCTCTCCAGAATAGTTGGATCTGTTCACAACTCCACCAACACAACTCATTAGTATTCCTGTTTTCCCATATTTTCTCCAATATTTATCATTTTCCTTTTTTGTCATATTAGCCAATCTGATGGGTGTGAGGTGGTAACTCAGAGTTGTTTTAATTTGCATTTCTCTGATCAATAGTGATTTAGAACATTTTTCTATATGACTATAAATAGCTTTAATTTCTTCATCTGAAAACTATCTGTTCATATCCTTTGACCATTTGTCAATTGTGGAATGACTTATTTTCTTATAAATTTCGCTCAATTCTCTATATATTTCAGAAATGAGGCCTTTATTAAAGACACTAGCCATAAAAATTGTTTCCCAGCTTTCTGATTTCCTTCTAATTTTGGTTGCATTGGCTTTCTTTGCGCAAAAACTTTTTAATTTTATGTAATCAAAATTATCTATTTTGTATTTCATAATGTTTTCTATCTCTATCCCTTCTCCATAGATCTGACAGGAAAACTATTCCTTGCTCTCCTAATTTACTTATGATTATCATACTTTATGTCTAAATCAACACATAAATCTTTTCTGATCCTCACAACAACCTGGGGAAACAGTGCAAGTACTATACCAATGTTTCCACTCAGGCCATTAAGCCCCAGACAGATTAGCTGACTTGCCCAAAGAGGGACATATGTCAGCTAATTGGCTGAGTCAGGACTCAAACTTAGACTCTGATCTGACCCCAGCATGTCCATTATGTCATGCTCTCACATTACTAGCAAAGTATAGGAAAGGTAGAAAGTAGGCTCAGAATGACTAAGACACAGATGCTTATTGGGTGGAGAAAAGATACTGGGCAATCTGAGAGCTGGGTGTGGTCTCTTTTGTGGACTCTAAAATGAGGATGATTAACACTGGATCTCTAAGGTTCTTCCCAGTTCTAACGTTCTAATAAACTATAGAATCAATTAATCAATCAACGTGCATTTGTTGAGTACCTACTGTCTGTTAGGCACTATGCCAGGTAGTAGAGATACAAATGAATGAACGAATCCTTTCAAAGAATGAAATAATCCTTACTCACAAGAAACTTAAATTATGTATACATTCTACATAATGCAGAAGGTGGTGCTTGAGCTATGTCTCAAAGAAAGAGAGGGCTTCTTTGAGGTAATGGTGGGGAGGGGGAGCATTTTAGGCCCAGGGGATGATCAGGGCAAAGATGGAGTAGCACATATGAGGAACAGAGAGAGAAGGCTTTTTTGGCTCAAAGAACATGGAAGAGGGAGTAATATACAGTGAAGCTGGAAAGACAGGTGAGGGTCAAGTTGTGAAGGGTTTTAAAAGCTAAAGAGAAGAGTTTATATTTTATCTTAGAGGTGACAGGGAACCACCAGAGTTGACAGTGCAGGGTAGTGACATGGTCAGACTCATGCTTCAGGAAAATCACTTTGACAGCAGGATATAGGACGGACTGGATTGGGGAGAGGCTTGAGTCAGGGAGATCAATTAGGAGACTGTTGCAGAAAGCTAGGTGAGAGGTAATGAGGGTCTATAAGTAGAGGGAAGAGGTCAGGAGAGATGTGGAGATTTGGCTACTGACTGGCTATAAGTGGTGAGGAAGAGTGAGAAGTCAAGAATAATGTCAAAATTACAAACCTTGGAAAGTGGAAAGATAGTGGTATCTTTAATAGATATTTGGAAGAGAGGAGAGCTTAAAAGGAAAGCAAATGAGTTCTGTTTTAGACATGTTGGGTTTTAGATGTCTTTGGGACATCCAGTCTTACATGTTCTATAGGTAACTGGAGATTCAGCACTGAAGCTCAGAAAAGACTGGAAATATAAATCCATACAGAATATAAACTGCTTGAGAGGAAGGAATTCTCTCCTTTATATTTATATCCCCAGGGTCTATCATAATGCCTGCCACATAGTAGATACTTAATAAATACTGGATTATTGATTCTGTGACTAGAAGACCAGGAATAGGATTGTAGGGCAAACTGTAAATTCAGTGTAGGTGTGGTTCTAAGATGAGCCCCTTAGTAGGGCTGAGGGTGTTTTTTAAACTTTTTTTTTAACAACAAATCTACTCTGCCACCAGCTACTTCCAATAATAGTAATAGTAGTAGTAGTAGTAATAGTTGTTGTTCAGTCATTTTTCACTTGTCTCCGACTCTTTGTGACCCCTTTTGGCAAAGATACTGAAGGGGTTTACCATTTTCCTTCTCCAGAAACTGAGGCCAACAGGATCAAGTGACTTGCCCAGCTAGTAAGTGTCTGAGCCCAGATTTGAACTCAAGAAGATAAGTCTTCCTGACTTCAGGTCTGAAACTCCATCCACTGTGCCACCTAGCTGTAGTAACATTATTAATATTATTATTATTATTATTATTATTGTGGTAGTAACAGTAGTAGTAATAGTAGGAGTAGCAGTAACAGCAGCAGCTCTCATTCACATAGCATTAATAGGTCTAATAAAAAGTACTTTTACATGTTAACTCATTAAAAATTCACCATAAGCCTGTGAGTAGGGTGCTATTATCCCTATTTTACAGATAAAGACAGAGATTAAGTGATTTGCCAGCAGGCTGGATCTGACCTCCCGGTCTTCCTGACCCCAACTCCATCCCCAACACCATTTCTTCCCTAATGGAAGAAGTTGAACGATGGAGGCTGGACTTCCCCAAGTGTCTTCCCACCTCCGCGTCCTACCCCAGGCGGGTCATTTTAGTCCCAGGAAACTGCCCACACATTTTCTTCCGGCAAAACTCCAAGTTTCTAGGTCCTAGGCTAGAGCGTGGACTACAAACCTACTTCTCAAAACCTCACCCATCGAGGCTAGGCCCCGCCCCCGAGCTCCTCAGGCCCCGCCTCCTGCTCAGCTCTTCTTCATTTTCCCATTCCTCGCCCAAGGCAGGCCCCACCCCCTCGGCTCCCATCCACTCAGCTTCCCCCAGCTCTCCTAAGCCCCGCCTCCTTCAGCGGCTCAGGCCCCGCCCCCACCTGGTTCATTCCCGCATTGACGAAGAGCAGGCCGGGGTCGTTTCGAGGCCGTACGGAAGCAGAGGGCACTAGCTGGTGGCCGTGACGGTCCCGGAAGAAATGAAGGAAGGCAGTTCGCACGGCCGAGGCTGAAGGCTGGGGAGGGCTTGAGGAGAGCTGACGGCGGCGGGTCCGGGTTCGGGAGCACGGGCTTTTCCATCCCGGTGCTCCCCGAAGGGCCTGCCGCAAACGCCCAGTCGCAGCCAACGCCGCCGCCATCTTTCTTTCTGGCAGTGGCTTCTGGGGGTCAGAGGTTAAGTCTGTTGCGAGAAGGAGATTACGGCAAGTGAGCAGGGACAGTTTTCTTCAGCGTCCCCTGCTGGGAGCAGGACCTTAACGTCTTAGCCCTTGGAACCTTTTGGAAAGCATTGGTAGAAAACCCAACTTCGATATGTCTTTGCCCGCCAGGATTTATCCTTTGTCATATATATGACATAGATGTAGAGTTGGAAAGGACTTTAGAGGTCACCTAGTCCAATCACCTCATTTTACAGATGAGGAAACTAAGGCTCAGAAAGGTTAGAGTTCAGTGAATTGTCCAAGGTCACACAGGACAAAACCAAGATTTTAATCAATAAAAATTGTGAAACCCCAATAATAATAACATTTTTATTTGCTAGATGGCACAGTCGATAGAGAATTGGACCCAGAAGACCTGAGTTCAAAGCAAAGGTAGTATTTGAACTCAGGACTTCCTAACTCCAAATCCAGGGCTTCTCCTCTGTTACACACCGGCTGCACTGCAAACAAGCCTTGTTGAATCATTGTTGCAGGAACATCTCCTTATATCGGTGAGCCTCAGTTTCTGTCTGTGTAAAATGGGCATAATATTTGCATTGCCTATCAGCACTATTGTTTTAAGGCAAGCATTTTACAACGTTGAAGCATTGTAGAAATGTGAATACAGTTGTCACTATGAGATATAGAGCCAGAAGGAATCTTTGAGACATCTAATTCAACTTATTTTTGCCAGAGAGTAAACTGAGGCCAAAGGAGATTAAGTGTTCACATGGAGTAATTAGCAGAGGCAGGAGGCAAACCCAGATCCCTTGAGTACAAATCTTTGTGTTGATGTGTTCATTCAAAATCCATTTGTTGAGTGTCTAGTATCTTACAAGAACCCTGTGCTAAGCTCTGGAGGATGTGGGACCCTAAGCCACAGAGATAAAACATATCTACTCATCCCCGGGAAGAATGCTTTGTAAATTGTGAGGGGTTGGCAGACTACAGCAGCAGACCAGATCTGGCTCGCTGCCTGCTTTATACAGTCTATGAACTAAGAATGGTTTTTACTTTTTTAAATAAGGCTCATATTAAAAATGTAAACATCTTTCTTAGCTTGAGAGCCATATAAAAACCGGTGGCAGACTGGGTTTGGCCTAGAGTCCTAGTTTGCTGATCTCTGATGTTGTTGTATGTTATTTAATGATAACTGTTATTATTGGGGCCTGGGGAAATAAGGCACGTAATAAGGGAAGGGGGAGAAGGGGCTCTGGCATCATGCCTTCATTCGACTTACCGCTTTGTGGAGAAAGTCCCGCACCTGAAGAGTCTGAGTGGCAGCCCAGCTAGCAGGAGGAGCAGAGGCAGTCCAGATTTTTTTTGCTCAGGATCATTTCCTGCCTTTATTAATTGCCTAATCACATTTGGCCTCTATCCTCTCAGGGCCTTTTAATTTACCCGCCAATTAGAGAGGATCCAGGTCAGCATAGCTTGGCAGTCCACTAATAGGTAGAGAGATGTCTCTCCACAGGCCTCCCACTAATCTGGTAGATTTTGTTTTTCTTTTTGAACTTGGAAGGGGGAAGGAAACAATAGAAGTTTGTGATACTAGCTGCCTTCCTCTCCCTTTACTTCCCAGATGGGCAGGTCGCTGAACCTCTTTGAGCCTCAGTTTCCCTATCTGAACATTGGGGTAGTATCATCTATTTAACAGGATGTCAAGCTGGAAGGGACCTTAGAGATTGCTTAGCCCAATTCCTCTCATGTTACAGCTGAAAAAAACAAGGCTGGGCTGAGGTTTAAGGACTTGTTCATGCTCGCAAAGGTAGTGGTAGCTGAACCCAGAACTGGTTCTCTTACTTTCAGTCTAGGGCTCTGTTCCCTGCTTTCTCCCATTGTGATTGTGCTCTTGGCATTTTCCCTCTTCTTTTACCATAGAATGCTAGTAGATAGGAACAGGTCACTTTTGACCTAAGCAGTTTTATCTTGGTGCTAGGCCTATATTCTTGCTTTTTCTTTTTTTTCTTCTTTTTTTCTAGTGAAGGCTCAGCATTTGGTCAGAAAGCCATGCATTGCTCTTGTCTTGTGTATGGTAAGTAAAGGAAAATTGTGGCCCTATCCTGGCTTTTAGAATTGGACCCCTTTGGGTACCACTTTTTGTGGAGGTGGCTTCTGTTGGAAGTGAGATCTCTCATTGCCTGCCCATGTGGTTCCAGAGTAATTTGTGTGAGTTTCCCTCAAGCCTTTGGCCATTTTCAAATTGCTGACTCCATAATCCTTAGCTTTTTCTGAAATGGGAGAAAGTTTTTCCTTTGGTAATGGGATTTATTTTTCTAAATTTTCCTGTGCTGGAACTATAAGAGGTGAGGACTTCATAGGTAGATGGAGGGCATGCTTTGTGACCCCAGTGTGACCTCTTTCTGTCACAGTCGGCCTGAGGGAACTCGTATGAAATTTTTGCTCGTGTTTTTTTTGGTTCAAGCCTCCTGAGATTTTCTGGAGAGTTTATTTGACTTTCTTCCATAAATGTCATGGGGAGGAAACCCCCGAATCCCAACCTTTATTAAATTATACATACAGTAGCCCCAAGACCTTTACCTGAATTTCCAAATTATTTATTTTTTGCTTTCCAATTACATGTACAGATAGTTTTCAGCAATCATCTTTGTAAAATTTTGAGCTCCAAATTTTTCTCCCTACCTCCTTTCCCTCCTCCCTCCCCAAGACAGCAAGCAATCTGATATAGGTTATACATACACAGTCATGTTAAACGTATTTCCACAGTAATCATGTTGTGAAAGGAGACTAAGAACAAAGGGGGAAAACCACTAGAAACTAAAAAACAAAAACAAAGTGAAAATAATATGCTTTGATCTGCATTCATTCTTCATAGTTCTTTCTCTGGATGTAGTAGATTTCATGAGTCACTTGGAATTGTCTTTGATCATTGCATTGCTGAGAAGAGCTAAGTCTATCAAAGTTGATCATTGTACAATGTTGCTATGACGGTGTGCAATGTTCTCCTGGTTCAGCTGACTTCACTCTGCATCAGTTCATATAGGTTTTTCCAGGTTTTTCTGAAATATGCTTTTCATCATTTCTTATAGCACAATAATATTCCATTACATCCATATACTACAACTTGTTTAGCCATACCCCAGTTGATGGGCATCCTCTCAATATCCAATTCTTTGCCACCACAAAAAGAGCTGCTAATGATAACAGTTTCTTCTGTGCACCAGGCACTATGCTAAGAACCAGGGATACAAATAAGTAAAAGAAAGGAAACAGTACCTGCCCTCAAGGAGCTTATAGTCTAACAGGGTAAGACACAGGAAGCTGAAAAGGGAGTGAGGGCACCAGAGGGTACCCAGCATGGGGGTGTGAGGGGATGATATTGATGTTGGAGTCAAAGCCAAGCAGAGCAGCTGGTGGCAGAGGAAGAGCTAGCTGGGATTTTGAGCCCTCTATAAAGGACAGCTTTCGGGTTTTGTATTGTTTTTGCTCTCCCCTCCAATCAGAGGGGCAAAGCCAAGTGGAGAAGCTGCTTTATTTGAAATATAATTCTCTGTCCAATGAATGGAATGTGGTGCAGAACAGCAAGCTCTGGCTTTGCACTCAGAGGACCTGGATTCAAATCTTGGCTCTGCTGCTTCCTGCCTGTGTGACCTTGGACAAATGACTTAAGTTCTCTAGGTCTCGTTTTTTCCCTCGTTTGTAAAATGAGGGGGTTGGACTAGATGACCTTTGAGGTCCTTTCCTGCTCTAAATCTATGACTCTGTGTCCTTTTCTAGCTTCTCACAAGATGGACTGGAGGGTAGGGGAGTAGGGGTGGGAGAGGAAGCAGCTGTTGCTGTCATCACTTGGGAAAATTCACATTTCCACAGTACTGGGCATAAGTCCGGGGCCTGGAGTCAGCAAGACTCGAGTTCAAAGCCTGCCTCATACACTTAAATAGCTGTGTGACCCTAGACAAGTCACTTAACTGCTGTCTGCTTCAGGTTCCTCGACTGTAACATGGAGATAACAGAGCCTACTTGTCAGGGTTATTATTGAGGATTAAATGGGATAATATATGTATAGTGCTTTGCAAATCTGAAAGGGCCATATAAATGCTAGCTATTATACTGTGATCCCTATGTTATAGAAGAGCAAACAGGATCGAAGAAATGATATGTCTTGCCCACGGTCTAATGGTTAGTGTCCTAGATGTGATTCAAATCTAGATCTGACTCCAGGGCTGGTCCTCTTTCCATTGTACTTGAAACTAAGGCCTTAAGTCCTCCATAATAACCATAGCCGACATTCACATAGGCCCACTAGGTGCTAGGCACTGGGCTAAGTGCTTTTACAATGATTATCTCACTTGACCCTCATGACAACCCTGGGAGGGAGATGCAGTTATTATCCTCATTTTATAGATAAGGAGACGAGACAAACAGGTTAAGTGACTTGTCCAGGATGACAAGCTGGGATGAATCTTGGGCTAGATTTGAACTCAGGTGTTCCTGGCTTCAGGTCCAGCAGTCTGTCCACCATACCACCTAGCCACCTTTCTGTAGGACTACTGCTTTTCTCCACTTGGGCCATGAGGCTGCCTCATAACACGGTGGGTTCTCTAGGGCCCTGCCCTGTTCCTCTATTCCACCTCAGCCAATACGGCTGAGTCCTCTTTGTTCTCTGCTCCACAAGGATACTTTTGCTTCAGATATAGCTGCCTCCTCCCTTGCTCTACCTCTCTTATCATCTCCATACCCTCCCCTGAAACTTCATTCCTTTGTCCAATGCACCGTCTTGGGAAGGAGTAGGGGAGGGGCAGCAATAAGGGAGTTAGCCATTGGTCACTGAAGCATTATTGCTCAGTACTAGGCCAGGTTTCCCCTTTCACCAATGCTTCCTAACAGTCCCAGGAGGAATCATTAAGGTGCTACCTCCTCTGTGATGGGTCTCCCCATCCTTCTGCTTGTTGGCGCTCCCTCCCCTCCTCAAATTACCTTGTATTTACTTGTGTGCCTGCTGTATCCACTCCCTATTCCCCTACCAAGTTCCCTGGAGGCAGGCTCTTTTTGGTTTTTATTTTCCCAATCTCAGTGCCAGGGCTTAATAAATGTTTGTCATTATTGATCCTGAGGTCTTCCCAGAGCAGGAGGTCTGGCCATTATTGCCTGGAACAGTCTCCTCACTTTCTCAATGCTGGAAACTCTCCTTATCCTGTCACAGCTAGCAAGAAGCCTATGGCAGAGATTCCTCCTGAGGGTAAGGATTAGATCATCTCTATGGGAGGC